CCAGAATCCTTTCAAGCTTGCCGCTTATCATCAATGAAATTATACTTTTTAGATCAGCAGGTATTGAATAAGTGAAGTGAATGGACACGCATATCTGCTCCATTTAGAAATGCTAAGGTGAAAGAACAATGCCATGTAACCCATAAAAATAAATAGATTTCAAAATAATAATTCAGAGACTTAACTACACTAAATAAATGCCAGTAAGATATATCAAGGCTGTGATATCATTGGATTCAAATGATGACATATTTCAACATATACATATGAATCATTGTGTGAAAGTTGGCATTAAAGAATATAGATTATATTATAGGGTGTATACCTATTCGAATCAAATAAAATGTACGACGACATTGAAGTGTAAATGGTGTAAAAAAGACATATTATTCTAAATACTGTCTGTAGGTTAATCGAGGAGGTGGTACATTCATTATTCCAAATTTTTTGGGATTTTCTCTCCTCGTTTCCAAATCAGATGATTTGCCCCAAAATGTCACTGCGATTAAAGAATTTTCCTATCAGAGAGCCTAAAAGAAAAATTCACTAGCTTGTCAGTGACAATTTGTATTGAAAAAATTTTTTGGAGAAGAGAAATACAGGTATATATAAAAAATGTCAAATTTTCACTTATCTTTGGAAATTTCGGGACCGATTCTGCTCCCGTTTTCAATATGAAAAGAGATTATTTCAATAGCGAAGTCGTATAATATGTCTTGAAGCTTTTTAGTTTTCAATGACAATTGGTGACGTTGGCAATCAAATGAATTACAGGTTGTTTTCATTAATTAATATTGAATTTACCATTTTCATGTTCAGATTTTAGTAGTGAATACCATGTTCTGTCTATATCAACTGAACAAGAAGCAATGCTATTGTCTCCGTTCAGAAGAATGCAAATGAAAACAACCCGTAACTCATTTCTAAATTTACTAGCATATATCTGGTACGTGAAACGAAAAATCTCCAATCGAAATATTGGGAGTGTAAGTCGGCCTTTGTGCCTTATGTTGAGATTATGCACATCAGTTCTGAAAGAAATTTTTTCTTGCAGGTAAGGATGGCTTTTTTCCAAGATCATTTTGTGGAATATAGTGGCAGCATGTAGTTTTCTCCTATTTTCCATTCTTACCATTCGATAGCTTTCAGTTTGTGAGATATTTTCTCTCTCTCTTTCGGATATCAAAAATAAATCGCAGGCACGAGTTCTGAACCTTTTGGATTTTTTGACTGAACATGGGCCATACAGTACATCGGCATAATTGAAAACAGACAGGACCAAGGCTTCACATAATGTTGTCCCCACTTTAGGTGGTGAAAAGCACTTGTTGTCATAAATAACTTCAAGTGAATAATATGCACGATTGACAAGTTGAGCTACATGCTTTTCAAATCTCAAGTCTTCATCTAAAATTACCCCTAAAAGCTCCTGCTTCATGTACTACCTCCAGTTGCTCATCATTTATGTCACAGTATTCCTCAAATGCTTGGGACCAAAAACAATGACTTTAGATTTACTATTGTTTATCATCAGAGAATGATCAGAGGCCTTCTGCACAAATAAATTCAGATCACTATTTATTCTACTACAAGCATCATCCACCATGTTCGAGGGAAAACTAAAATACAACTGAGTGTCGTCCGCATAGAGATGGATATTACAAAACTAAAGGCATTTCATAAGCTGCGATGTATAAATGGCGAAGGGCAAGGGTCCGAAAATAGAACCTTGTGGCACTCCACAACATAGTTTCAAATATTGTGAGTGATTTCCATCAATAGAGATACTTGGTTGACGAGCATTAAGAAATGATCTGATTAAAGATAGTGCACTGTTAGATATTCCAATGTAACCCAATATTGACAACATTGAATTGTAGTTGATTGTACAAAGGCTCTACTGAAGTCTAGAAGAACTAGTATACTGTTTTCGCCCAAGTTACTGGATCTTATAATATCATCAACTATATGTAACAGGGCAGTTTTGCAGCTATAAACTTTAGGAAATCCAGATTGAGTATTCGGAAGTATGGAGAAATGGTCAATATGTTCTTTCAGTTGTTCCTCAATGGCTCTTTCGAGTACCTTAGATAAAGTTGGTATAATATGCTTATAGCACGTAGAACTTTGTAACCCGATGGATTCGTGCAGATTGCGTGCGGAAAAGTGATACTTTGCGCACTTGTTAGAAAAACAACTATTTTCGGACTTGCAGACTTCGAGAATTTTTCAGATTTGTATAGTGAATTACTACAACTATTGTTATCTAATATAGGCTATGGCCTTTTAGAAGAGTTACATCCGGAGATGGCCTGAGGTGAATTAACCATTATATCACCGGATTATTGTTGCTGATGAAAACCCAATATGAATAGCAACTTAAGGTTGATAAATAAAGCGTATTCATTGATTTTCACGATTGAAAATTTAAAAATCATCATGCGTATCCGTTTTGTGTCATAGATAATATTCCCGATGAATCAGATAAAATAACCGCTTTACTAACAAATGAATTAGCACATCTAGAAGAGAGAATTGTAATGATATAATTGTTTACAATACTGTGGTAACATCTTATAGTACGGAAGTGGTTAAAGTGTGCATAATTCTGCATTCAATTTATCACTTGAATATCTATTGATATTATTCACCACACATCAGTATCTAATAGACGCATTCATGTAGATGTATTAATCAATTCAAGAATAGTATTTTTCTCGCCCACGTACCTATATACTTATTAAAGATCGACGAAAAACCCTTGTCGCAGAGAACTATCATATGTTTCAATTTGAAAAAGCAAGACTTCCTCTCATATTATATGTACGTCCATTTCCTAATTATCAAATATTCTTTTTTTACACTATTTATTTATATAGGGTAAACCGTTTGAGGGGAATTTATGATTTCATTGATGAATTCTCCAAATTATGTTCCACACTTTTGGATATCTGAATGAGTAATGATATTCTAAGCATTTTTCAGCATTTTCAGAATTTTTCTCGAAGAGGGATCGCCAATTTCATGAAGAAATGCAATCACCATATAACCTATAAAGAGGTTGTTATGACATACGATTATCTAAACTTAACTTCAAAATAACTTTCTTCGATGAGTACTGTGTGGAAAAATATTTCTTCAACGAATTTCGATTTATTTTATTATACATCAAAAACCATCAGACATCAGGTTCCTTCTAATTTCTTGAAACAATCTAAAATATTCTGTCTCTATGTTTTTGTTTTCAATAAATAATGTGCTCATCTTGATTTCATGCATATATCAAATAATATAAGGGATTCATCACTTTGTAAATATAGGTATATCTTTTACTAGTACGTAAAGAACGTTGTAAAATACTGTCGAAGTTCGATAATGTTCATCAATGGATTTCCTTCCGGTTCTAGAAACTAAAATCAAAGTGCTGCTCACTGGCAAGAACTTTTGAATCCCTTCTGACTGAAATGTTTGGTATTCTGCTTTTCAACTGTTTGATAGTTTTTACATTATACTTGTATAGGGTATAGGTACATCTACATTGATTCAACAAAAAGATTAACATACCTATACCAAATAAAAAATTGAACCAGAGTTTCCGTATAGATTCTGTGGACTATTCAGTGAACGATACTGATTATTATTTATTTTCCCTGCTATAAACATGTATGTTTCTTGGGAATAATAATAAAGATATATTTATTCAGATCACATTATCACAATCATTCATTTCCAAAATACACCAAAATCTTTTTTTTTTGCAACCGACACTAAAGTCATCCATTTTATTTTTTTGAATTGTCTTTTCTATTACTGACACAAACATAGGTATGTTGCTAGACAACACTTTTAGTTCCTAGGTGCTAAAGTTGAAGTTTAGCTCCTAGGAACTGAACAGGATGTACTAGGTCATGTTGTTATGGTTGGTTATTTGGGTTGGGACGCATACCTGATTTGTTTCCGATTTCGGCATATTTGGCATTTCATACCCATGCTAGAGATATGAATACACCATATTATAGTTAAGTATTTCTGTTTTCATCTGGAAAGCATTCAAGATTCACATACTTGCTTGTTTTGTATTTCCTTTATTCTCGGGATCTGATTGATTGGATAACTTGTTTTCGAATAATCACGGCCAGCAATACTTAATTGTCTCACACAACGATATTGCTTATTGCCTTCATTTGATCACCGAGCCAAACACAGTGGAATATAGAGAGCAATAAATAATCGCTATTATTATGGTTGAAATGCTCACTAACCTAACATTTTCAACTTCGTTTTCCTACACCTGGCACTGGCGTGGTATTTGCTATTAGGGCTGACACCTGGTCCAAATAAATTCATCGTTTCAATAGAATATACAAATGAGTCACTCTGTGGTTGTATTTATAATGAAACTACAATTCGGACATCCTTGAAAATTAAATAAACCTGATCTGTAAATGCAGATAGAATATTCTTACCACACGGATTATTTGTTGCATTGTATGTAAATGGCACGGCATCCATGTTTCGGGTATAGTATTGAATTCGTGCCTGTAGAATCTGATGATGCATGTCAACACAAATTGTAACAAAGTCATCGTCTACCAATATTCTAATGTAAAGTAGTCTGAGGTCTTGATTCTCTCTACCTACCTATTTTATTATAATAAAGGTATTATAATATTCTGTCAAGTAAGTGACTCGTGAATTTTGCATCTGCGAGGCGGAGCGTCTAGTGAAGTATCACTTTCGATACTAATAAAACAATCTACTATTTTGTTATTCAGATTCAGATGATGTCAATTAAAAATGTTCAGAGAATTACGTTATCTAACCTGAATCAGTACTGTTTCTGTCAACCAGGTATCATCAGTAGCACTCGGTCTGCTGGCGATACCATTTTACTTCCGTCGTCATATTTATCAATTATTGATAGATTGTTTTCCATATATTACCAGAATAGAAACATGCCTTGAATTAAATAGTGACCTGGAGTATATTTTTTGTTTCAGATATTATGGACAGCACTATCCGTGGCATTAGGTTTAGAATTGAGGGGAGAATATATCAGAGGAGTTCCTTGCATAAAACGGAACCAACAACTGTACTGTCCTACAGCAGGAAATTCTTATCCTCTGTGAGTATACCTCTATTTGGTCTAGAAGGCTTGATGTTAATGTTAAGTACATATTTATGACTTGAAGAACAATGCTTTGTATCAATAGAATATTTGGGTTTAAATTATTTTTCTACTCACATAACTAAAATGGCATTTAGCGTACGGATATGTTCCACGCTAAATGATCGATTAATCACGGATTGTCGATCTGTGATTTATTCAAAATATTAAACACGTTACCATGGCAACACGATTTCTTAAACCATGGCAACGCAGTTCATTAAACACAGCTTCAATAATTTGAGACATGTCTGGCCTGTCAATTGTATTAACTGTCAACTGTTATTTTCGAATATTGTATCAGAATTATTCAAACAATATTCGTTTGTATCAGAATTCTTCATTAAAAATATATGCGAAAAGTAGACGAAAGTGAAATCGAAGAGAATGTTCTGGTACTTGCATATCTCCAAGAAGTGTAAAAATGAAGCATCCATCTTTGAGAACAATTTATTTATTCTGCGCTAAGCATGACAATATACGTGAAACAAAGGTTAGTAAGCAATGGACTGGACACATCTACAACCAATATTACTTATACGTGTCTCGCTGGTTGCATGCAGTTGCATATGTATTATGTTCTCAATTCCCACTCCTTTCGAATTGATTTGTAGGTTAGCAGGAATTGCAGGTATGTTGATGTAATTTTCGGAGTTCGTAGAAAAATCATAGTATGTAACGCGTTTATAAAATTTTTTAGACACTCGTTTATTAAACACTCGCTCCGCTCTGCTCCGCTCGTTCTCAAAATACTTGTTACTAAAAGGACGTTTATAACACTTGTTACATAATATACTATTTAAACGTTGACGTGTCTCGCAAATTTTCAGAAAAATCATTTACTTCCCCAGTAGCGAATTTATTCTAGTTAAAGTTTCCACCCTGTATAACGGATGTGTTAACTGTGACTGTATATTAATTTCAATAATACCCTGTATACTTCCAGAGATCGAATAGAGCTGTTCATCGACGAGAACAAAGCCTTGATGAAACGCATGTACGGCGAATTCGACATGCCGGACTACGACGCCCGTAGCGGGCCCGGAGCGAAGCGGAAGCGGGCCGCCAAGGCAGGGCCGGACCTCCACTTCGATCCGGGACCGGAGCCGGCCGCGGCCGAGGAGCCGCCGACCGCGAAGAGCAGGAGCCCGAGGCAGAATTTCAGGAACAATCAGAGCTCAGAGAGCGGCAGGTGAGCATTCAGATATGGGCACTTGAACGTTATTTTAACGTTTTATTCACGTGAAAATGGTTGACTGAACGTTTTCGTTCGAGAAGTTTATGGTCAGAAGGGAGTTGAAAGCTAAAAAAGGGGCAGGTGATCATCCTGATAGGCTAATGCACGTCATCTCAACGTTTTATTCACGTTCAGTGTTTTGGTCTATTCGGTTTTATTGACGTACAACTATTTGGTCCAGTTTATTCAACGTTTCATTCACGAGAAACTGGTTGAGTCAATGTTTTTGTACGAAAAGTTTATGGTCAAAATGCAGTTGAGAGAGTAGGCTCATGTACGTTATTTTAACGTTTTATTTACGCATAAACGCTGGGTCTAGTTTTTTCAATGTAACACATTTGTATTCGAGGAATTTATGATCGAAAGGCAGTTAAAAGCTAAAAAGGGGGCAGATGAGCATTCCGATAGGCTGCTCCACGTCATTTCAACGCTTCATTCACGTATAACTGCTTGGTCTAGTTCTTTCTACGTTTCATGTACGTAAACATGGTTGACTAAACGTTTTCGTTTGAGAAGTATATGATCAGAAGGGAGTTGGAAGCTGAAGAAGGGGCAGGTGAGCATCCCGATAGGCTCATGCACGTCATTTGAACGTTTAATTCACGTTTAGTGTTTAGGTCTAGTTTTTTCAACGTTTTATTGACCTACAACTATTTGGTCCAGTTTGTTCAACGTTTCATTCACGTGAAACTGGTTGAGTCAACGTTTTTGTTCGAAAAGTTTATGGTCAAAAGGCAGTTGAAAGCTGAAAAGAGAGTGGCTGAGCATTTTGATAGGCTCATGTACGTTATTTTAACGTTTTATTTACGCATAAGTGTTTGGTCTAGTTTTTTCAATGTAATATTTCCGCAAAAATGGTTGACTGAACATTTTTATTCGAGTTTATGATCAAAAGTCAGTTAAAAGCTAAAAAAGGAGCAGGTGAGCATTCCGATAGGCTGATCTACGTCATTTCAACGCTCCCATATAACTGTCTGGTCAAGTTCTTCCTACGTTTCATGTACGTAAACATGGTTGACTGAACGTTTCTGTTCGATAAGTTTATGTTCAAAAAGCAGTTAATTGCTAAAAAAGAGACAGGTAAGCATTCCGATCGGCTCATGTACGTTATTCTAACGTTTTTTTCACGCATTACTATTTGGTCTAGTTTCTGCAACACTCCAATCACGTGAAAATGGTTGACTTAACGTTTTTTTTTAAGGAGTTTTTGTTCAAAAGACAGTTATAACAGCAAAAAAGGGTCAAGTGAGTATTCCGATAGGCTCAAGTACGTTATTTCAACGTTTAATTTAGGCATAAATATTTGCTTTGTTTTTTCGACGTTCCACTCACGTGAAAAGGGTTGACTGTAGGTTTTTGTTCGAGGAGTTCATGTTCAAATGGCAATTATAAAAGCTCAAAAATGGTCAAATGAACATTCCGATAACCTCATCATGCACGTTATTTTGACGATTCATGCACGTATAACTGTTTGGTCTAGTTTTTTCGACGTTTCATTCACATATAAATGGTTGACTGAGAACTGCACGTTTTTGTTCGAGAAGTTTTTAGTCGAAACTTAGTTAAAAGCTGGAAAGGGGGCAGGCAAGCATTTCCATAGGTTCTTGCACGTTACTTCAACGTTCTATTCACGTGTAACTGTTTGCTTTAGTTTTTTTACAAGTAACGATTGGATGAACGTTTTTCTACAAGAAGGTAATGGTTGAGAGGCAGTTAAACTAAAATGCACATGTTCATGTTATTCCAAATTTTCATTCATGCATAATTATTTGGTCTAGTTGTTCGACGTTTCATTCACGTAAAAATGGTTTCTGTTCGAGAAGTTCATGGTCAATGGGCAGTTGAAAGTTGAAAGGGTGCGGGTGAGCATTTCCATAGGCTCTTGCACGTAATTTAAACGTTATATTCACGTATAACTATTTGCTCTAGTTTTTTTCAATGATGAATTCACGTAAAAATGATTGAATGTTCGTTTTTCTCCGAGCAGAAGTTGGACTAGTTTTTCGACGTTTCATTCACGTCGAATTATTTGACTGAACGCTTTTGTTCGGGAAGTTTTTGGTAAAAAGGCAGTTAGAAGCTGAAAAAGGGGCAGTTGAGCAATCCGATAGGCTCGTTCACGTTATATCAACGTTTTATCAACGTATAATTGTTTGGTCCAGTTTTTTTAACATTTCATCCGCGTAAAAATGGTTGACTGAACTCTTTTGTTCGAGGAATTCATGGTCAGACGGCCGTTGAAAGCTAAAAGAGGGGCATCAGGTGAGCATTCTGATAGGATAGGCTCATGCAAGTTATTTCAACGTTTCATTCACGCATAACTGTTTGGTCTGGTTTTTTCATCGTTGTATCCTCGTGAAGCTCATGGTTAAAAGGCAGTAAAATGTTTCAATGCTAATGGGCGTGTACACCTTGGTAGAACTTTTAACTCAAACCATGTTTATAATGATCGTTTCATACATAAATAATGATTGACGACATAATTCGATCGAAAAATTTACTGGAATGTTCAATTCTTGGACATAAATACTAGTACCTTCTGAAAACGGACCCTCTTATGACGTAGAAACCTCATCTCGCCATAGTTAAAAGAAAATACCAAACGCCGGACGGAGACTGAGGCAACTGATATATTAATTCTTTCAACTGTGATCTCGCGCTAATTCACTCTGCCAGAAATCATGTATCATTCATCTCTGTCTGGAATAGTCCTGTTTCAGTATTAGGGTTTTGACGTCACATCATCGCCTCGTTTTCAGAGGTCCAAAAAATCGGGGATTTCAATAATTTTTTATAAAACGTAGGGAGCTCACAGCGATAAACGGTTTGCTGTGGTGAGCTAGTTTGGATGAGTTCTATCGAATTATGGAATAAAATTTTTTTGTGATATAAGCCCATTGAATTCAGTATTTTTCACATCGAAATATAACCAGCAAGTACCTCAATGATCACACATACATAATTTCAACGTTTAATTCACCTAGAAGTAATCGATTAAACAGAGTTACGTTGAAATTCAGGTGAGATTTCAAAGTTAGGTCTAATATTTTACTATCTATATCTACTATAATGAACACTGAAAGCACTCGTCCGTTTCAACGTTATATTCGGTACTATTTCCTCAACGTTCAATTCATGTGAACAAATGGTTATAGGAACGTTTTTGTTCGAGACGTTCATGGTTACAAGGCAGTTAAATATTCGACTGTTGAATTCAATGTTTTGATGAATCTAATATAGTCAGTAGGTACCTCAGTAGAAACGTTTACATATTTTCAACGATTAGTTCAAGTAGATCAAGTCGAATAAAAAGAGCTACGCTAAAATGCAGCTGAGGATTTCAACGTTGGGTATCTAATTCTCCAAAAAACGTATCTCATGAACACTGAAAACAGTCTTTCTTGTTCCATGAGTTTTTTGGTTTCTTGTTCAAATTACCATGAAAAAAAAATGAAGGCCTGATATAACTCCAAATTCTAATAGAGATTCATTTAAGAAATCCTAAAATCACTCAATAGCCATAACGCATTTCATTTGAAGATTTTCACAATTTGTCGGTCATATAGAGCAGACTGTGAAAGCTTATACAGGGTAATGTTGGAAAAAGGTGAATAATATTTCTAACGTCAATACCTGTATATAAGAAACTAATAAGCTTCAAAACATACAAATTTTAAGTGTAATTTAACTCGTTCAAAGTTTAAAATGTATGCTGTGAACAATCACCCATATTGAACAAAATGATGAGACTAACTTTTCGAATTTCTAGGGTCGATGCCTGTGAGAGTAAAATAGAAATAGTGACGCCATATTGGGCATCAAATTCAGCTGGAAAAGTTCGAGCCATAGTAAATACGCAACATTTTGAGCAAGCCATTCATCAAGAAGTCTGCGCGTGAGTGAAATTATCTCTAAACAAAGGGTCCTCATCAACTATAATGTTTTTTTTCTTTTCTAGAAAAAGTAGTACAAAAAGGTGCACAGACGATTGTGGCTGTGAACAGAAATACAAATGGCATCGGCTTCTAGCCTACGATCCAGATAATGACTGCAAAGGAATATTCATGGACTGGTTCCTTTTTCCATCATGCTGCGTATGTAGATGCAGCCCGAATTAGAAGATTCATCTCGATACCAACTGAATACATATCAACATATCCTACGATACAAGTGACATTAAAATTTTTAATTTTAATTTGCACTCAATATCGTGATTTGATAACGAGATGAGAATTATGCCATTCGATACCAATTGTGCCACCCCTTAGTCTGAGTCAAATTGGCACAGCAATTTATTTGCTGCCATTATTCCGGGAATACTTCCGTCATGTGATAAGGAGTTGAATTCTAAAGCAAACAAAAGTGGCAGAGCCTCAATATTTCAGAGAATGTTTCGTCCCTGTTGAAAGATGATATCCGATGGACCAGTTTAAGAGTCATGTGTTACTCGCACTACAAGTATAGAGCAGCTAGCGCTGAGAGAGAAAAAAAGGTCTTCTTCATCTATCCTTTTCTTCAGTGTTCCAACAAAAATTAATGAAAATTGTATGTTGGCAAAGCTGAAAATGAGAAGAAAGTGAGAAGAAGACCATTCTATCCTTCTTTATATTGAGGTTAATATAATATTCTTCTCCATTTTTTCCCATTTCCAATGTAACCAACTTAAAATTTCCATTATGTTACGTTGGAACACTGAAGAAAAGAACAGATGGGAAAGACATTTTTTCTCTCTCAACGATAACTGAACAACTCTATTCAAATCCACATGTTGAGTTTCACACTGGTCCATCGGATACTATCTTTCGATAGGGGCGAGTTTGAATCGCGGTATATTTGAATATTCGCAAAGAGGGTATTATCCCCTTTTATTTGCTCTTTGTTTCAACTCGTTATCACATGACGGAATAAATATGTCCAGGATAATGCCGTAGATTTGACTCAGATTAAGGGGTGGCACACTGTTAAGTTCTTGAGATCTACCATTCAATTGGTATTGGATGGCATAATTCCTATCTACTTTTCAAATCGCGAAATTTAGTGCGATGATTTTTGATCAGCTAGATCAAAACGAAACGAACAGATCACACAATGTTGTCACATTTTCTAGAGACTTTTGTGGTTCGCAAATGGGATGAATCCACTTCATTCTGAGGAATTCTTTTCCAATTAGAAAATGATGAAATTTTCTGGTTTTGTACCCTACTCAAAATCTATAGAAATCCTACGGAAATGGTTTGTTGAAGAAGTTTGGCTAACGGACTTGGGGCTTGAAGATGTATATGTTGGCGTCAAACAGTGAAATCCGTCCTTCTCTGGAATGCCTAGTCATTTCACGTAGGTATTGCCGACAAACAGCGTATCTCTAAATTTCGTACACCACAGTCTCATCGAAGGTTCCTGAGATATTTGACAGTTTCCAAATTATTCTCCTATATCCTGTACTTATACTTATTATACAGGTGAAATAAATACCTATTTGTCATATTAGTACGTGATATTATCCAAAAATCCTATTGATGTAGCTAGATTTTATTTGTCTAGAATAGATATTCAACTATGTATTTAATTTGTTTTTATCATTCCACTTGCCTATATTAATCGTTTTTTATCTCTTTCACCATTGTGGAAAGCCGATATATATGAAAAGTGTGTTTCCCAAACATATAGAGGGTGGCCCTTTGAAAATGAAACAGAGGCTCGCTGTAGGTCGTCAAAACCGGATTATAAAAAAACTCTGAAACAATGTCAATTACATTTTCGAGGGGGGCAGATCGTTCTAAAATATTTTCGGCTTTTATGTCCCTATCGCAACTTTCGATTTAATATCTACTGACATTTTAATTGGAACAGATACAGGGTGATCAGAACTCTGAATCTTGAACCACCCTGTATTTGATTCAAATAAATGTCAGTAGATAGTGAATCGATCGAAAAGTGAGATAGGGTTATATGAGCTGCTCTGACCTATGATGAATAGTTTCGACACAAAAGCGAGTCCTAAAGTTGAAAAATATCGATTTTGAACACCCTATATATAACTCTGTAATCATTGCCACTAGATCTCAAGTGTGATGCATTGATTAAATCAGATCTTTGAAGATAATCTAAAGATGCAATGAAATACAAGGTGTTCCATTCGAAATAACAAAGTTGTTGCTTCTTTCCGTTAGAAGCGGCAACGCCGCAGGGCTGAAAATATTTTAGAACGATATCCCCCTCGAAAATGTGATTGACATGTTTCAGAGTTTTTTCATATTCCGGTTTTGGCGACGTACAGAGCAGAGCCTCCGTTTCGTTCTCAAAGGGCCACCCTGTATGTTCAAAATACTAGATTTATAAAAAATACAAAGGAGATGAGTCTGTGTCTCACGGGATGTACAGGGTGTCTACTTATGTTTTCAAATATGAAAGTTGTAGCGTTTCATCCGTACAACTTTTTTTCCACATCGTATAGTTAAAGATGTAGGTATATAGGTAGGTAGGGGTCGAAATATATGGAGACACTCTATTCAGGGGCAAGAATGTTCACAAAATATCACCTTAAAAGTAGTAACCATTACATATCTGCTCAATTCAACAGAAAAAAGTTGAAGAATTAAGAGGTAATTTTGTTCTCAAATATATTGTTGTGTATTCTTTGGTATTTTTATTTTTTTGGTACGTTTTCAAATTTGTACATTCAGTGTGATTCAGTGGTCTACCACTATCCTGTTTGCATGTAATAAGTTTTTTAATTCATTTATAAATCATTTATTTAATCATAATCACATATTATAATACAAGTTCCCAATGGTCAGAGAGATGAATTGCAAGAACGATATGTGTATATCTGTATTATATATACTTTCAATGCGAATATTTACTTCTGATTCTGAAGTTTCTAACAATGTAAACATAATAATAATTCACGATAATGGTTCCTATATGAAAGCCTTGATTATATACACTAGTGTGAATACTCAATGATGAAAGTAAAACTGGCTTAATCTTTGATTCTTTGTGTATGTACAGTTTAAATATTATTATCTCATTGTGAAGTTTCATATTTGTTTATATGACTATATTGGAAAGAAAGTGAAAAGTGAGATGATTTATTGTAGCATAAAACATTAAATTAGTATAATGCATGTATCTATATAAAGTAGAACCTAGCAAATCTCAAGACTAGGAAGTATTTTTTTGTGAATCATTGTCAGCTGATGCAAGGCATTTACTGTTTCGGCTTGCTAAAAGCCTCATCAGTTGCACTAGGCCAGCTGACAATCGACTTCTTTATAATGCTGCAGAGCAGAGTAATAGTGTGAGAAGGCCGATACAGCCTTCAGACATTTATTATGTAAATATAATATATGTAAATATATCATGTCATTCAGACATTGTTGGTAACAATTATTTAATTGCGCACACCCTGTATATATATATAGATATACCTATACATAATGTTTGAAACCTTTGGATATATAGGTGTAACGCAAGGATGTTTAACGACGTCTTCATCAGGCAAGACACAAGGTAACCCTGATGAAGATAAAAACAATAAGTGAATAAATATTCTATTTGAGAATCAGAAATTTGAGATAAATGTTGAAGGTGAATACGAAAATTGCCTTCAATAATTTGTTAAACTAAACGATTATTTCACCTGCCGAAATCGCGGTATTGACTATATACAGAGTATTATTTCCAAAATTGAGGTGATATATATATAGTAGAGAAAAAAGTCATTTAGAATTCAAAAACAAAACACGTATGTTTAATGAAAGCAGCGTATGAAGTGCTGCTTAATATAATAATAATATAATGTTATAGGGTACACCTTAGGTACACCATACCGATAATTTTTGAAATTATTTTTTTTATTGTTCCTCTCATATTTTGAGTCAAACATCACAAGCAGATAATAAAAAGAGGGGATTTTCCATGGAAAAATAATTTTTGGGAAAATTTGGGATCGTAAAATGGGGCGACTTGAAATTAGGGGGCGATTTGAAATATCCGTGTGTGCTGGAACATGGCTGGAACATATGCTACCATCTTTTTATCAACAGTGAAAGCTGGACATTTTTTGTATATGTAGGAATCTATTATACAAATCATTTTCAATCGATTGCACCCCCGATTTTTTCGTATCTTTTTGCGACATTTCATGTTCAGCAGCTGGCAAAACTGGTTTTGTTAAATTAACGTCATTCTGTTCACATGTTGGCAACCCTGATTTTAGTGATTTGTTTATACATTTTGGAATAGTTAGGTTGGATTGAACTGTTTCTTTTAAAAGTAGATAGATTGAAATTCAAAATATTAATTCATTCATGAATACTGTTACATAAAAAATTGAAAATGGAGAATTCCATAAAGAAAAATCAAGGAAAAGAGACTGATCAGGTATGCATGTTTAATTTTAGCATCACAATTCAACATAATATATCTTTCTATTAATACATTTCTTTCAGGATTCCACAGATCCCGATTCATTGTCATTATCTTTAACGCCACCCCTACTTGAAGAAAATAATGATTTTGAGAACATTGATGAAGTCTCTGAACATCTAAATTCTTGTACTGAGAGCATTGAACATGATAGATCATTACAGGAAATCGAAATTTCTAGTAGACCCAATGATATTTCAAACCCAGTTTCAAACCCATTAGAACCAGTAGATAGAATTGAGCCTGTCTCACATGAAAATCCCCATTTTGATACTAGCTACCACAGTGATAATAGCATAATAAGCTTGAATTATCTCAAAAACATTGAGGTAGGGGGCAATGTTCGAAGTATTCTGGAAGAAATTCTACACAATGAACCCACTGATTCTAGAAAAGATGCAACTCTGTGTTCATCAAAGGATGAAAGTTTGAACATATTTGCCAATCTAGACTTAGATGACAAAAGTCTCTCAAATAATAGGTGCAATGCTGATGTGAGCTTAGGTGAGAAAAATCTGTATGCTACTAACTTTGGGTTGGCCAAAGCAGAAAGTGAATTGGAAAGGAGAATTAGGGATTTTGAAGAGTTGATAGCTATCAAGGATAGTACCATAGCTGTGTTGAATTCTGAGTTAGATTCTTACAGAGAAAGTAATACTAATACAATGAGTAACTTATCTACTACAGAGTATAAACAGCTTCAGGATGATTATCATACAAAGGTAAAGAAAAACACCATTTGGGTAGTGATTTTATCATGATGTTTTACAGCTTTCGGAATATAATAATGTGATAGTATACAAAAATGATCTTATTGAACAGTTGACTGAATCTCTTGATCAATCAGTTACTGAAAGGAAAGATTTATTATCCCAAATTAGTCAGTTCAAAGAAATGATTGAAAATCTTGAAGACCAGCTTCAAAAAACAAGGAAGATAGTTGAAGCACATCAATGTGAAATTTCTAAACAAGTCACTGATGGAATTGATGTTGCCAAACAGGAATGTTCAGAAAATGAAAATGAGCAGGTAATCTAGTTCTAGTCATTGAAAATAATCAGAAATATTAGATTATTTTTTGCAGGCAAACTTAAATTATAGTTTTGATGAGGAATTATTGAACTTGCAAAAGACATTGAACACTGAACAAAAAGATCTATTGTCAGAATTGAAGATTAAATTTGATAGGTTACTTGAACAAAATAAAGAATTCTATGAAGCTGAAATCAAGCAGTTGAAGGTGAATATCAAAATCCCCACAATTAATTACTTTTTCTGCATGTATAGGTGTATATATATACATAAATTATATAAATTTTGAAGGATAAACTGGTCAATGAAAAAGAACATTTTGAAAGTGAGACAACTGAATTCAAAAGTCTCTTTGCAAACCATGGGAGTGTTTCTACAGATATGGTCAATTTGAGAAGTGAATTGGAAAAAAAGCATTCCACAGAAATGGAGGAACTCAGGACTTATTTTGAGCAAAAATGTGCTGATTTAGAAAAAAAGTAAGTTCTAATACTTGTTAATGTTGGGGTTGCCTAATTTCAACTATGAATCCACTGAAAAATGAAATATTCTACATGCCTTCCAGAACAACACTATGGGAAAAAATCACTGTGTCTGAAAATAATAATTGATTTAGGCAGAATATAGGACAGGATATTGAATGTAAATTTGAAATCAGTTCTTCTCAATATTTACAAGAATAGTAAAATAGTGAATGATTAAAACAACCTTGTTGGGGAAAAAATAATCACAATTCAAAATAACCTAAAATAAGGCCACAATCAGTAGAAGTTTATATCAGACCTTATCCTAGAAATTTATATCAGACCATATCCAACTAAGTAGATGAATTGGACTGGCAAGTAAAAACAGTACTTACAATTTCTTTTCATTCCAAATCATCATTTACTTTAGTTTATTCTTCAGAAAATTATCTGATATATTTTCTATTATTTATTTGTATGTAATGTTATTCTGAATTTTTGTATCCAAGAAGGTTTGTCATTTATTGCTCTCCCTAATTATCTGCCATAGCAACAATTTTCTGAAATCACAGACAACAACCAAATATACATTTGAAAGGTTGAATGAAGACAATAATCATCATTTGTTTATTTATCAAAATTGGGTTTTCAGTAAAAATAAGTAATGATGATATTAATGAAAAAGTCAAAAATACAGCATGATCTATATATCAATATACAAAATTCAAAAAACTTGTAGTTTGAATTGTCCTTTAATATTGAAGAATCTACAGTTGGACCTGTAAATTCACACTGGAAATTCTAGAATCTTCCAAATAGAAGCAATACCTTAACCTTGACCTTACTATACAATGAAAATGTGAATCAAAATATTTGCCTAATTTGATATGGATAATTTCATGAACAACTCCTCTAAATATTCCATTTCTAAAAATTTGAGTACAGAATTTGTATTGTAGATTTTTTTGCCGAAAATGAAAATTTCAATGGTTGATCCTATTGTAAATTAAATGATTTTCTCCAAAATATCACTGTGTTCAAAGTTCAATGGAAATATTAAGGAAAATCCAATCAATAGTCAGTATCAGATTTTTTGAAAAACTTTTGATGCAGAGGATTATTGAAAAGTATAAAATTCAACTTTTATTCATGTATTGGAAATGAAGCGGCTCCTGTTTTCAACATAAAAATGGAAAAAAATATTATTTGCAAAATGTCTTCCTCCTTAGAATGATCAACCAAAAAGAAAATAAAAATGCATTAATCAATGTACAGGGTAATTCACCAAAAATGTCCCCCCTCCTCTAGCTCAGTTATTTTTGAACCTATTGCAAAATTTTTAATATCATCTAAAATGATTTTTGATAGAGTTTTTTTCAGCACATCAGAAAATACAAGTAGCTCGGATTTTTTTAAATGAAACACCCTATTTTTAGATTCTCCCTGATGAGCTGATTTCATCAATGCATCACACTTGGGGTCTAGCGAAAATGATTACAGAGATATAGCGTGTTCAAAATCGAGATTTTTCAACTTTAGGTTTGTTGGCTTTCATGTGCGTATCTCAACATTTGATTTACTATCTACTGACATTTGATAATTGGGACAGATACAGGGTGATCAGAATTCTGAATCTTGAACCACATGGAAAAATTTCTGAAAAATCATTTTAGATGATTTTTAAAATTTTTAAATGGGTTCAAAAATAAGTGAGATAGACGGGGAGGACATTTATGGTGAATCACCCTGTACCACATTACAAACAATTATCAATATCAAATAATATAATACCATACATTTCCGGCATATCTGAATAAATAAAACATGTTGGTGATGAGTTTCAAATGAAAATTGTTTTCAAGACTGAGAATACAATGAAATTGATTTTTACTCAAAGGAAATCCAAACAATTTTGAAATTGCAACTTGTTTAAGTTCTTCTCTGCAACAACTGTAGGTTATTTTTCACTTTTTTCACTAGCCATCGACATTATAAGATTTTCAGGAATTTGTACACTTGTCCCCTATTATCAGGAGTTTCCTTATTTATTCTTTTGTAAACCTATAGGTTGTGGGTATTCTCACTCAGATATGGTGAAATAAATTCAAATGTATCAAGATCATATGTGGAACCGTAAATGAGGATCCATACCATCTTATTGTAAATTTTTATGCATTTGGCAACACTGCGAATTGCACACATTTCAGCTACTCCGAGGAGGTTTTCAGCCAGCAGAGCCGGAAATTGTCAGATTCCACTTCTTCAGAAGCTGAGCTCCATTCGGATCCTATTTTTCCACTGCCTCCGGGGCCTGCTGGAGACATCCAATACGATATACAACCACCAAATTCACAACCCAATTTCACCAAAAAGGATATTATCAATCTCCAGAACGAGCTCAGCTCTATTCTGAACAAAATCTCTAAGTACAATGTCCACAACTTGAGCGACGAAGAGTTTTCTGATTTGAAAACGGAGATCGGCAATTCTAACCTCAATCATATCATGAAATATGACCTTGTGGCGATCAGGAACAAGTATAATGCTGAGCTCGAGGTTTTACGCGAGGACAATGAGAATAAGGTTGACGAGTTGAATATTCACTATGAGAATAAGTGGAAGAGTTTGGAAAAGAAGTATTTGAACGAGATTCTGGTGTTGAAAATGCAATTGGAGGAAATTGGCAAGCAGAAATTGAGTGTTTCATCAGCTGTACAAGAAGTGGTGAGTAGAATGTAAAATCTGTCTATTTTGTTTTTTGTTCCCTTGTTCTCCAGCCAAAATTAGTATTATGTCTTCAAGATTTCATTGGACAATTCAATTGTTCACACTGTATTATACTGTACTAAATACAAATAAATGCATTCTAAGCCAAACTATCTATTTCTACATGAAACAGATCGATTTTCATTTTCAATTTGTCCTCACAATTATGAGGAAACAAATATACAGGGTTATCCACGTTTGAGTTGACGTCCGTGACTATTTCTTTAAAAGGAACACCCTACAATACAGGGTGATTCACATAACAACCGACATAGGGCAGGGGCATGTAGGGGGTCCCAAAATATGGAAATTTAACGCAACTTACCTCTATACCAAGTTGCTTCCCTAAGGAGTTAGTAGGCATAGCACTAACAGCATGTCAACTTGCTCGTTAATAGAAAACTTCCCGTTCATTTCAAAAACACTCAAACAACAATTACTTAATTGAACAACTCACTTGTCTCATCGTCAAGTTTGACGTTTATTTTCATAGCCAACTTTTGAATTTTCGATGATTTTAAATAACACACCTAGAGCGCGCGTTTTCAGTTATTCGAGTTTTTGATGAAAATGATGAGGTTTTTTGAAAAATTACTAGAGTAAGAAAAGTTTCAGAATTGAATTGCCCACAAAACAAAGCAAAGATTTTCGAAATCCATCATGGGTTAACAAAATTATGTTGAATATTAATGGTGCGCCACCCGGTATACCCCCTTTACAAATTTCAATTAAACTCTAGTTATTGTCAAGTAACGCCCTAAATACATCCACAAAGTGTACCAAATTTGGTTGCTTTAAGTTCAAGAATAACGGAGATATTGATTTTTTTCAAAATTTATAACTTCACTTTCAAAGCCTATATCTCCTTAGGGAAGCAACTTGGTATAGAGGTAAGTTGCGTTGAATTGCCATATTTTGGGACCCCCTACATGCCCCTGCTCTATGTCGGTTTTTATGTGAATCACCCTGTATATATTAGTAAATTTTTGGAATCTCCATGGAAATCTGAATTCAAAAATACAATACTCTTAGAGATTCTTATCATAATTTGCTATATTTGAAAGGAAAAATTTAATATACAGGGTGATCCACGTTTGAGTCATTACGTCCGTGACGATTTTTTCAAATAGAACACCCTATATATTATTCAATTTTAGGAATCTCCATGAGAAGCTGGATCCAGAAATATATCACATATAGGGTTTGTACAGGGTGTGCCTCTCAAAATGTGACCCCTCCTCAAGTCTTTTGTTTTCAGAGATATGAAAAAATGTTGAATAATGAAGTTGTTTGAAACGACCCGAACTTTTATTTCGTGAAGTCGTTTCGTATACAGGGTCATTCGTTTTTCCGGAAAGACATCAACTTCGATTTTCGCAATGGAAAACTATATATTTTCCGATTTGTCGAGAGAGCCTCCTTTTCTGATTTCAAAAGTATATATGAGTTTCATATTTGAATAAATATAGTAAGTTGAACATAGTGTGGGCTTTGAAATAGCTTTTATATATTGTTAAAGCTCCATAGATATGTCATGATTTTGTTCATTATGAAATTGAAATCGTTCAATCTCAATACAAAAAAATATGAATGGACAGTTTGAATGGAAAGATGCAGTATTTTGGTAAACTTTGATTATCAATAACCCAATTATTTTTCATCCAAATATGCACCTCATATATATTTTTCAAATCAGAAAAAAGGTTCTATCGACATGTCAGAAAATATATTGGGTGTTCCATTGAAAAAATCAAAGTTAATGCCCTTTCCTGAAAAACGAATGACCCTGTATATGAAACAACTTCGCGAAATAAAAGTTTGGATCGTTTCAAACAACTTTTTACTGCAACATTTTTTCACATCTCTGAAAACAAAAGAGTTAGGAAGGGGTTCCATTTTAGGAGCCGCAACCTGTACATACAGTGCTTCCATTAAAGTCAGTTCTCTCGTAAAATGGAGTTCCCATTAGAAAAATACCGATGACGTTGTTTCTCATACACGAATCATTCTGTATGTATCAATCGAATTTAATAGGATGCCCGAATAAAAATGAAATTCGACGGCTTCAAGCGTTCTTTAGAAACATTATTTCTTCAATTTTCAATGAATTTATCCACTATTCACACTCAATTCATCTGACGCCCTGTATACAAATCCTATGTGTAATATATTTTTGAATTCAGCTTTCCATGGAGTCCCAAAAATTGAAAAATACATAGGGTGCTCCATATGAAAAAAGTGTCGAGGACGTCATTACTCAAACGTGGATCACCCTGTATATTCAAAGTTTCCTTCCAAATTTGGCAAATTCAAAATAAAAATCGACCTCTCTCAGGAAATTTTAAAGAAATGGATAGTTAGGCAAAAAAATTTATAAACTTCTTGAAGAGATATATTCTTGAATCCAGCTTTCCATGGTGATACCAAAAAATTTGATAATATATAGAGTGTTCCATATGAAAAAATTGTCGCGGACCGCATAACTCAAACGTGGATCGATGTGGCAAATTGAAAATAATAATCGATTAAAAAATAATTTATTCAGTACTTTATGAAAGCATTGTACATTTATTTAAAATTCTCGGAATAATACCATTTTCTAGGGATTATTTGAAAAAAGAAAGAAACAAATGAACATTTTCTGAATTGAATCAGCTGTTACTTGATGGAAACTCATAGTAAATGTAAAAAACGATAAGATTTTCAGAAAATTCTTATTCCTATGTGTTTCGCTAATACACCAACTTCTTCAGATGAAATACTGGTACTTGCCTATCTTTTATATCCCACTTTCCCGGCCTAAAGGATTAAAATGACCTGTGGAAAGGTTCCATGAACCTTCATTTCCAGAAAGTAGGCACAATATCTACATTAAAATAGGGTGTACCGGATTAACTTGAAAGGGTTATTAGGCAATATATATATCATTACCTACCTACCAAGATAACAAATGCAACAGTGGTAAATTATCGATGTCTAGTTGATCGTTAATTGAAATTTTGAAATTTTTGCGTTTATCCGTACAGTCTATCCACCAAATTTATACTTTAATGTGTGCAATTCACGGGGACATGTTTCGAGGCTTCTAAGCTTTATCATCAGCATTCAGCTACATGAGCGCACTAAAGTAAGAGAAGAACAAAAAGCATTGTCAGACAAACCTTTCAAAAACGACAGAACGACAAAATTCACCTGTTCTGGAGGAAAGATCATGTTCACATACTCATTATTGTAACAAAAATGGGAAATTACTAGTAGTACATATTTGAAGTTGAAAAATTGAAAAAGGAGAACCGCAATTTGCGGATCATATGTGTTAGGGAACGATTATATTAAATAAAAATAAAAATTCCAATAATTGGAGTCAAATAGAAAAGTTACAACTTTTCTTGTTGGACTTGCCGAAGGCTTGAAGGAAACAAGAATAGATGAATGACATGACCAATTGCCTTCGCTCCACTGTAAGATGGATCGCCTCAGATGATTCCAAATGAATTCTATTCCATTATTTCCTACGTGTAAAATTTCGAAGTCATCATCAAAACTATGTTTTTTTTCTAATATATGGTTGACGTATGATGAATTTGTTATCTTTTTCAACCATAAGATGAGTTTTTTGAAAATGAAGGTTTATCGAACCCTTCCACTGGTAGTTTTAATCTTTTAGGTTGAGAAAGTAAGATTTAAACTTGGGCAAAGCAATGTAAGCTATGTTTATCGTATGTATCAGTGTTTCACCTGAAGAAGCTACTGTGTTAGCAAAACATGTCCTGTGATTAGGAATTTTATAGAAATCTTATGGGTTGTGAAGTTTTTTACATTGACAATAAACATTGTTGGAAAATATTTTGTCATATTATAGTTTTCTTAGTCCAACAAGGTCAAATATGTGATTTTTTGTACATGCTATGCCATCATGTTTTGCTTCCATATGTGTTTCATTTATTGGGTTACTATTGTCCTATATATCTCATAACAGTTACCATAAAGTTAATCAACTCAATATTCCTTATTTTGATTTTCTTTGTTACCACCACCGAGGTTAGGTTTGGAAGGTGTGGCGGCAATTTCGAATTCGAAAGAATTTCATCAACTAACGTCACTAGCACAATTCATACAACTAACTTTGTCGACTTCAACAACATTATCTTTAATAGCTGAATTTCAGACATCATCCGGGAATTTGTCTTCCTTATGTGTTTTCAATCATTTCTCAGATTTTTTTTGCAAAGAACTTGTATCGTAGATTAATCAAAAATTGCTAGAACATTACCAAATAGGTTTTTATAAAAAAAATTTCTAAGGCATTGTCAAACTGAAAAATTGTTTTGTTTTTAATTTTTTTTTGGTTATACATATATCACATTATTATATTCAAATAACTAAAAGAATATATCATTGGGCACAATCTTTTTGAAAAAAATAGGGAGAAATCCAAGAAATTTTCAAAATGGGAAATCTGAAACATTTATTTGTAAATAAATCTCCTGACTGTTGATGGGGCATGTTTTGTTGGTGGTAAATAGTGAAATGTCCCTTGTTTTGTGCTAATACATGTTTCTGTTCTTTCTGTCATTGCATGCAATAACAGGGAAGCTCCGGGGAATTTGAAATCAATGAGGTCATTCAAAGTTATGAACGAAGATTACAAGAACAAATAACTCTGGCTAAGATCGATATCATTACTGCTCTCGAAGGACAGATACAGGTACAGGACCTATTTTATTCTCTTTTGCCATCTTCGAGGAAGAAAACAATATGTCTTTCCCTTCTTTCCTTATCCTTACCATTGAACTCAATGTAAACAACTATATTGAGTTCATTGATCTTTACAGGTCCATTTTGAAATTTCAGAAAATCACGAAGTGTGCGGCCTGTACTTACGAATTTTCTAAGCCGGCCGAAGAGCTATAAACCAACCATTTTTGAACTTTTTTGAGCCTGTGAGTGAGTTATTACTTTGTCCAAAATACGCAGCACGTTCCCGATCCAATTAAGTGGAATCCTTCAAAAGAATTTGTATTTCTAAAGTACTCAATTTACATTGATAACCTATAAGAAATTACGTTTTTTTAACGGCACCTACAGGTACGTGATTCTCTGAAATCAAGATTTTTCTCATATTTAGGTTAGAACATTCTCAGGTTCTTTATATTGAGGTTAGATTGGCCCTCATTTTTCCCATTTTCTTGATGTGAACCTGAAATTTCCATCATTTTACGTTGGAAGCCTGAAGACATGGACTGAAGGGTAAGACATATTATGTTTTCCTCTCTTAACTCTAGCTGAATTTCTCTATTTTTGCTACATATTTAGACCCCCTAGGAATTAGGTTAGGGTTAGGCATTGACTTCGTTTTACCTCCAAGGATAATATTAACAAAGTTGAAACAATCTCTCCATGTAACCTAACCTTGTTAGCTATGTTTTTTTTACTCCTGCACTAATAGCCTAATGAAGACCCCCTAGGAGTCGAAAAATGTAGCATTGAATTTCAGATTTGAAGTGATACTTTCAATTTTTCCCTTTAATATCTCATCACCTCCAATTTGAGCATGGACTACTATCCGAAATATAAAAGCTCAGTTCCCTCATCATAATCATCCTCATAAAATTAATAATATAATTGTTCAAAAATTCAACATATGCTTGGCTACCGTTGGCTACCAACTCTTGATAGAACTATTTCGAAATATGAAAGAAATAACAAGAAAAAAATCAAGATTATTGTACACATGGTTAGCTTTGATACATGATTGTATAGCTCGCGTGCACGATGACCGACCCTGGTGGTAGAATATTGAAACACAACCTCACTCTTCTGTGAATTATTGAAACACAACCTCACTTCTTTTATTTGTTTACAGAGGAATCAAAGGATTGAAATAGTTTTTCACAATATTTTGGCATACGAATCGTGTTTTTTGCGCTATTCATTAATTCAAGCATGCCTTCGCATTGTGCTGTTGTACAATGCACAGAAAATGCAGCGAGAGACGAAGGAATGTGATGCTACTAGTTATGAAATTGTTGTCAATAGTCGAAAAATCGAGTTTATATATGAAAAAACGGGTTCTCAATAAATGAAGGGTCCCGTGCCCTGAGAGCGTATGAAATCAGCTCTTCAGGGAAAATCTTAAAATGCAATAAATTACAGAGTGTTCCATTTGAAAAATCAAAGTTGCTACTACTTTCTAATAGAAGCGGCAACACCGCATTGTCGAAAATATTTCAATTGGCTAGAGAATGTCCGAATATGCCCTCCATTAAATTTTCAGAATGATCCGTTGTCTGGTTCACCAGAAACGTCTAATGTGCCATCCACCGTGAATCAGCCTGTATAATTCATCTCATCGAAATTTCATACACCAAAATGGTTTATGAAGGGTAGTTGTCAAAAAGTTTATTTTTGATAACACCATAAATTAGCGGTTTTTAAAAAAGTGGTTCCCCGTACCCTTATGAATGCGCTACTAAAAGAAAATATCAATGAAATTGATGGGGCAAACAGCCGGTACGTGTTAAAATTTTCACTAATGGGGTTAGAAAACACTGAAAATAATGTCAAATAATGACGTAGACAAGACGTTGACATAAGTCAGCCACTGTCAAGGGACAAAACATGAAATTCCGACAATGAGCACAGGCATGTAACAATAGCTGATACAACTACTTGAAGAATGTGGAGGTAGGAGGAAGGATGCATGTAGGGAAGAGTTGAGCAAACCTGAGAATAATTATCTATGAATATACAACGGAAAAAGAGTTGACACCAAAGTAGGTAAACTAACAGTGATTAAAATCCAGAGCGTTGAAAAATTTTATACAGTCAAAATGTGTTTGTTTATTGAGAGACAAGACAGAATTATTATTTAAGGAAGAGTTAATTTCGAAAATTTCCAGTAAATTCAAAAACCTACTGAAATTTTTCTGGCACTTTGTTTAACATATTCAGCATTGTTATTTGGATCCGAGCAAGAAATACAATAAACTCCTGATTTGTGATTCAAAGGAACTTTATCTTTACTTTTTAGGAATATTATCAACTGTGTGAAAAGAGATATTAATATCCTCACTATATCGATGAAAAATGTTTTTGATGTCATATGAGACTTTGCCAAGGAAAGGAATGGATTACTCGTCAGAATTCTTCCTGCGACTTCTGAAATAGAAGCTAATAGAGTGAAAAAAGCTGCAACACACACGACAATATTTCGTCAGCATCTTGGACCGGTCGTCCCGTTTGATTGCACGAATCCTAGCTTCTTCCCTTCTTTTAGAAACTTCACAAGCTTTTCTATTAGCTCCTATTGCAGGAGGAATTCTAATGCAACATTTCAAAATGAAAACTATGTCGTGAATGACATCACAATTTGTCTACCTGAAAAATCTCATTCCTTCGTCTCTTGCTGCATTTTTTGTGCATTGTACAACAGCACAATGTGATGGCATGCTTGAATGAATAAATAGCCCAAGAAACACGATTCGTATGCCAAAATAATTGTAAAAAACTATTTCAATCCTAAGAAAGGTAAGGCTGTTTAACCTCCAGGGTCGGCCAGCTGTCAAATGTGCACGCTAATAAAAAAAAACGAAGGCTGCTACGCTTTTGCTACATGTGTCATGTCATATGTGTCAATGACATAAATAATATCAGTGTTGTGATTTCAACTTGGAACATAACCTCAATGTATTTAGCGCCTGGCTTCGAACGAAGCGGAAGACGAAGAATGGCCGTCTGAGTTACTTCGCCTTAAAGATAAATTCGCTGAAAAATATGAAACCGAAATCCAAGAGTTGAAGAACAGCCATCAAGTGGAAATAAACCAACTGAAAGATGAACAAATGAAGATTTTGAATGGGGCTTTAGAACGAGCAAGGAGAAGAAGTTTGAGAGACAATGATAGTTTCAGTAAAGGAGAAATCGAGATACTGAAAGAGAGGTTTGTTTGTTTTTCTATAAAAATGTCAGCAACATCAATATTCTTTTTGAGCTTATGCTTTATTTGTAATTTACCCTTTTTCTATTCACTGAAAGCGTTTGGAAATATTGGTTACTTCTTATTGTCATTTTCTACCAGCAACCAACCAGAAAGAGAGAGTTGGGGAAGTTTTCTTCAGATATCCAAGTAATTTTTATTTTTAAAATTAAGCAATTTCTAATTTTCGAAGCGACAAACTGTGACGTACATTCTGAATCCAGTCTGAATATAGCTGATGACTGAGAATATAGCTAGCAAATAGAAAACGAATGAATAAATAGAAGAAGAAGACAACTTTGCGTCGTTGTTGATTAACTAACTAACTAAGCAACTATAAACTGTAGACATGGGCTAACGAATACATGGATTGCAGAAATCGACACAAGTAAAACTGGTAAACAAAAACATACATAACCACAAAATCAGAACATTTTTCGGTGTGCCTTTCAGTATTTTGTGTGGTGTGGAGGGACTCAAGGTATTATACGGAAATAGATCCGTTTTATAAAGGAACGAATTCATTTTAATAAAATTACTGACAAGTTTTCATTTTAATTTCGTAATATAACGACAGTAAAAAATTATAAATACTATTGCAAAATACCATAATTTATCTTTATTAGTAATCAAATTCATTCAGCGAATAAAATATTTGTGAAAATTATTCATAATACTATTAATTGTATCCCATTGCTGTTATGATAGTTATTAGTTATTTTAGTAACTAGTGTACGAAAAGTATTTTGCGCACGAGTCGCAAACAATTTTTTTTTTCTACAAACGTCAAAAAATTCAATTATAATAATAATAATAATAATGCCTTTATTGAAAATTGAAAATTGACAAAATTGAAAAAATTGGCAAATTGATATTACAAAAAAGAAAATATTTCAATTTTTCAAAAGGCGAAGTTCAGGATGCTCCGTGAGGGGCTCCTGTTCTTCCACTTAACCCTTGACTTAAACCTATACCTATACAGCGTACATACAATACGTATTGAGAAGATGAGAGAGATGAAGTGAATGAGAGAGAGAGAAAGAAAAAGAGAGAGAGATAGAGAGGAAAGAAGGGAAGAGTATCAAGAGGGGATGTGATGTCCTTGTTTGAGGTAATTAATCAAATACTTTTTGAAAGAGATATGATGCGTTGTAGAGTTTATTGATGGTTCCAGTAAGGTTGACACAGGCGGCGATGCGATAAGTGAAACAGCGTTTGAAAATTTCTTTTCTATGTCTGGGTATGGATATGCGGGAGGAGTGACGGATGTTCCTATTATGGATGTCGGATCTATAAACAATTTTATTAAATAAATATAACTGGGTTTTTTAGATTTTAATAGTTCAAAGCAGAAGCAGCTCATGTGCAGAAATCTTCGATTATTTATATTTAGCCAGTCTAAGTCCTGTAATTTATGAGATACTCTATCGCGACGTTTAATTCCAAAGATCAACCTTATGCAGGAGTTTTGAATTTTTTGAAGCCTTTTCTTGTCGAACTCCGTTAGGCAGGCACCATAGACTATATCACAATAGTTCAGGTGTGATAGTACTAATGTTTCACATAATAACTTTTTTATGTTTTTACTGAGGGAGAAGCGATGAGGGTATATTAATTTTAGAGCAGAGTAGCTTTTCTTTAGTATCAGATTGACGTGCTGAGAGAATCTCAATTGAGAATCAAGTATCAGCCCTAGGCTCTTAGCACATTTAGTAAATTGTATAGCTTCATTTCCTAGTTGTATATTTATATTTTGCAAAATTCTGGTAGAATTGGTCTCGTTTTGACTGAACAAAATTGCAGTTGATTTAGATGGATTTATTTTAAGTAGGTGTTCCTCGCTTGTAGAAAGAAGGGATTGGAGGTCGACATTCAATAAGTAATTAGACAAAATGTAGTTTTTGGGATCGAATGATAAAAATATTTGGGTGTCATCAGCGTACATGTGATAGCTACAATACTGCAAGCGTTCATGAAATGTAGCGGTGTATAATGTATATAGTAGGGGCCCGAGTATACTACCTTGAGGGACTCCTGCTACTGCATTCAATGAATCAGATACATGATCTTTCAGTACCACTTTCTGTGTCCTGTTCGTTAAATAAGATTTGATGAATGAGCAAGCATTGGCACAGAAACCATAAAAATGCAATTTAGCTAGAAGAATAGGGTGATTTATGAGGTCAAATGCTTTTGTGTAGTCCAACAGTATGAGGATTGTTACCTGGTTTTCATCGAAAGCCCTTATAATATCATCAGTTAGGTCAAGCAAAGCAGTTGTGCAACTATATCCTGATCTGAATCCTGATTGTTTGGGAGGTAATAAATTATTATTTTCAACGAAATTTCTCATTTGCTTATCCATAACTCTTTCTAGTACTTTGGAGAGTGTTGGTAGTATACTAATAGATCTTAAATGTGAGTATTCAGTAGGGTTGGCGACTTTAGGTATTGGTATTACATTTGACTTTTTCCATTCATCAGGAAAGTACGAAGATACTATACATTCATTGATTAAGTGGGTGATGAACGGAACTATAAAAGGGCAGCAGTAATATATAAGAGTAATATTTATCTGATCTGGTCCATATGCTTTGGTTTGAATGTTATCAATAATATTGAGAATAGTTAGCTCTTCTACAACATCAAATTGAAAATATTCAACCGAATTATCTTTGACATTGTTATTATATGCTTTTCCATGCACTTCGGATCTTCTATCCTCTACTGGCGCGGTGAAGGGTACATCCATATATCTTTCTCTGTCTTTATTTTCATAAAGAAGTGGCGTCTCATCTCACTGGCGAAAAGGGGTCATAGTTTGTAAATCAATTTGTTGAAAGTATTTCTCGATATACTTATCAAAGGGTATATGTACTTCAATTTATTTGATTTTAGGATGCACTAGTTTTTCAATAGATAGAGTCAGGATTTAGTAGCCAGTTCTGATGGGCAGAATGTAAATGAATGGGAGGAATAATTCAACCAATTAACAAACTTATATTTGTTCTCATAACATACTAAGACACTTCATAGGGCATGAACGATCAGAAAATTCGACAAATACAAGTATAATGATTATAATTCAAGAATAGTATATTCTATGACAAGAATACAAAATTTCAAATAATGGTTGAGTAAAGTGGGGTAATATGGCAACATAAAATTTAAATGCTCACAATCTAATAATCATCGTGCCTAGCTGAAAGACGATGGCTGCACGTTAGAGCTTACACAATATATTTTTGTGTCCAGAGTCGCTCGTTTTGCCATTTTTCCACACAGCAAAAGATTACAAGTAAATAAAGACAACAATCTCTTTCACATGTAGGAAGATTTTGGATTTTTATTTTTAGATAATGAAAAAATTCATTCAATATACCAGGGAGATTTCCCACGAGGCTTTCAGAATCAGTAACCTTATTGATACCACTCAGATCAAAGAATCTACTAGGCACCTGTAGGTGTTTTTGCGGTATTCAATACAAAAAAGTTGTTAAATTGTTTATGGAAATTAGGCAAATTATGGTATCTAGGCTGACACTTAATTGGCGAGAATAGAGAGGAATGATAATACAGAAAACGAGCAGTATAAAGTACTTAATAAAATGTAGCGTTCTGTATGGTTCTGGTACAGTACGTCGAAGGAATGGTGGAGGAGCCGAGTTCCTTTCTCATTTGTTTTTTTCTGATGTGAAATTTGATCCTGCGAAAAAAAGAAGAAATACATATGCATTAAATGTTTACAAACAAAGCGAGATAAAAACCTCAATATCCAAAACTTCTCCATTTTGCAGGGACTCCCTGAAGAAGCAAGTTTCCTCCCTCCGGAACCTTCTGAGCGAACTCCTCAAATACTTCACGCAATGCGAGGACGAGCTCAACAACACGCTGGTGGACGAACTCCTCAAGCAGGGCTTCGATAAGAACGTCTCTCAACTCGAAGAAGATTTGGCAGTCACGGCTCCCAGTCCTAGCAGTTCCAGCAAGAATTCCGATTCCATGGTAAATACAAGGGATTTTGAAATGCATTTTGCAGACCGAGTGTTACTGATGAGACCTGATGATCCGAAACAGTAACACTGATTTTTTTTACTAGTAATACTGGATAAAAGTCTACACTGGAATGCTTACGTTAAGGGTCTCTAGTCTTTGATACTGGAGACAAATGGGACGGATGCAAATCGTGTATTTCTGTCTTCGTTTTACCATAAATACCAACGATCTGACGATATTTAACTACATATTAGATCGTTGACGATCACTCATGTTACAAAATGTGTAGGTTATCTAAAACTGTCAATTGATTTATATGCATCAGAATCTCTTCTCATCCTCTAATGTCCTGAAGTTGCTTCTTCAGAATTATCTATTGATGAATCGGTCATTTTTTTCAGTTTGACTTCACCAATGAGACGCATATGCATTCAGTACATACTATTTTTGCCAGTGGTACTTGCTATAAATGAACATACTTGCACCATAACTTGAATACATGTCGTTCAAATTTGATTTGAACAAACTTTATTATTCTAAACTACGTAACACTAATTTCGTCGCACCCCAAAATGGATTGGTGTGCGGCGAAATTGGTGCTGCGTAGTTTATATCTAACTGTAACTATATTTGATTTACATTGTACAGTGCATCCCATTTTGGTTGAGACTGCCAAGTTTCTCGATTGTTTCCAAAGATAGAACCCTGCGGTTTTAAGGTTCCTGTCCTACTTTTTCAGGAATCTTATAAACAGAAGTAGTTATAAGGCCATCTTGAGTTTCACAAAAAGTAGGACATAAATATGACACTGGATTCTGGTATTTTGCGCAAAATTATTTCTCATAACTTCGTAGATATAATTATGCATCAGGCCATCATGACTTCTACAAGAAATTAGGATAGGAACGTGAAAATCGCAATGCTCTATATTTAATAACAACTGAGAAACCTGGCGGTCTCAACTAAAGTATACATAGAATGGAATTGTTTTCTGGAAATCTTGATATGTGTATAGATGAATCCATCATGATACCCTTGATTATGCAAACTAACATGAGAGCAATTAATCCAGTAATGCTATTCAGTAGGTGGCGGTATCTATGAGCGACAAAGTGAACTATTTTTTGTTGAGTAGCGAAGGGTAGAGATCGGCAATGCAGAATATTTTCGAAGTATATTTTCAGAATGTTTTTATGCAAGAAGGAATGTTACATCAGGGCCGGATCACAATTTTTTTATTACTTAAAAGCCTTCAGAATATCAAAGTAAGTGATTTTTCTACTTACGAAGAGGGAAGATATTCAGTCCACTTTCCCAATCAACCACTATCTCACCCTGAAATATTTGCCTAACCCAACGTAGTTTGACGATTCTGTGACGTTTTGTGTCGTTTTGTGGTGTTTTGACAAATGCTTGACGTTTCTGTGACGTTTGAGACGTTTTTGTTAGCCCCACCACTTAGCCCCCGTCACTTAGATCCGTTAGCCCCGCCATCCTACCACAGCCTCGCCATTCAGCCTCGCCACTTGAATGAACGAAGGGAATGAAACAAAAATATCACAGAGACGTCTCAAAAACGTCATAGATTCATCAAACTACGTCGGGTTAGGCAGGTATTCCAGTTAAGAATAATACCTGGGTGAGAACTAAGACCAAAGGACCCCGCACCATTTATATTGAAATCTTGTCTACGGTGAAATTTTGTGAAAATCTAGGATTGGATAGATCAAATCCTGCTGAAGAAAAAATGCCCTTTGGTTCAAGATCCGTTATGCCCGTTAAAAGAAGTTATAAGCTCTTGAAGCCAAACGAGATAACCTCTACCAGAATAGCACATCCTGTGTGTAATATTGTTTTGGCTAATTAATCATTCCAGAATTACGTCATTTGACAGGTTGCTGAGGGGCAAACATTGTAGTTTGTCAAAATTTTTCATATGAAACCAGAATTAGTGGGAACGTTTTCCTTGGACTCTGAGTTGGAACCCGAAAGAATTTCATAATTTTTTTCGGTGAAACTGTTATTATATTGTCGATGTGGCAGGGATGGCCAGGGCTATGCTCATCAAAGGTAACCTAACAGATAGTTTGTGTGCCCCTCAAGAAACCATGTCAAAATCACGTGTTCTTGAATGGTCAATATGATTTTTGAGTTGTCAGATAATGTTTATCCATGTTATGTCAGTAATAGTCATTGAGCAAAAGCGTATTATTTTGTTCAAATACATATAAGATGGCTTATCAGAATAGTTTTCGTTGCTTTATATAGGCAATATTACGGCTATGGCACGCATCGATCGAGATCAAAATGTTGAGCAGCAAGCAATCGCAATACATCGAAAAGTTTTAGGAAGGAAGAATATACCCCTAACCGATCGTACTCTTTATTTCTGAACTGTAATTGATCCATTATAGAGGAACTTGGAATTCGAGAGAACGTTCATTCTATGAACCTGAATGTTGTCTTTCCCATCCATGCAAGAGTGTGCATATTTTGTGGAGCAAATAATAATTTTTTCCTGTGACGGAAAAAAAGTTTGGCATTTCATCTCTGTTGACATGTTATAAAATGTCACTTTTCATAAATTACTTTTTTCCCTTGGAAAAAAAGTGAGTACTTTTTTCCCGGATATATATCACATATATATACTCTGTTAATGGCTTTTGTTGTGCTATAGTTCCGAAAAATGAGTCAATAATACCGTCTCCGAGAAAGAACTGCCTTTTATCTTCCATTCGACTTCGCGGTTTCGTATATTACTAAGCAACTACTGAATTCGCAATTTTTTAAAATAAAATCACAGAATTGAACTGACAGAAGTGACATCAGATATTTGATTACTTCAAAAGAATGATAAAGATGCCTATAAAACGCAGGTGTCCCTACTGTTAAAAGCTTGAAATTTCACGTCGATAATTTTCAGATTTCGAAATAATGTAATTTCTTCTCAATATTGATTCGTCCTTCCTTCTGTCACAGAAAAAAATAGTGTATTATACACGGGAAAAATATTAGATTTTAGCTCACACAACCTGGGGCTAAAATCTACTACTTTTTTCCCTTGTATAATAAATAACTATACTTCACCTATCATTAGTTGCTAGAGTCAATGTATATACTGTAAATAATATTTTTATCCCTGAAAATGCCCAATCTTGTCGGGAACATGTCAACGTTGATGGTATAATATAGCGATCATTGATTGGTGGTTTACGTTATATGGAAAGGCCACTAATAGTCCCCGGTCGAGAATTGCAACGTATTTGAACAAAGTAATACGCTTTTGCTCAATGACTTTTACTGAATGACCATTATCTGACAAATCAAAAATATCTTGGCTTCAAGAGCTTATAACTTTTTTTAACGGGCATAACGGACCTTGGACCAAAGGAAATTTCTTGTTCTGCATGATTTGATCTATCCAATCCTAGATTTTCACAAAATTTCACCGTAGACTAGATTTCAATGTAAATGGTGCATGGTCCTTTGACTTCAACATTTTACATGGAGGTGGATCATCTTGTTAGTGTAAATAATCGAGGATGGTTCTCTAATCTAGGCGATGAGCGTCACCAGAGTCCATCTGACTCCGAACTTCGGCGATCTGATCAACATGATCGAAATGGGTGCGCAACAAAGCGACGACGACAGCAAAGACATCTCTGTCGATCTGAAGAATGAGCTGGGCGTGTGTTTGGAAAAGCTGAAGCAGGAAGCGAACGCCATACTCACACTGACCACCAGTATGCCCAGACAGTCCATAGCTGGTATGTCAACAAACAATGTATTCGATGATGTTTTTGTTTTTATGTCCATATGGGTGATAACTGTATATCTTTGTCTTAACTAGGGCTAAAGGTATTGGTGAAAGTTATTGTATACAAATTCTCACGACTCCGTAATATAATGTTTGATAGATGGACAGCAAAAACTACTATTTCCTTCATAACTATCAATTCTACCAACCTCGCGTCTATGATAGATCGTTCCAACTATCCAAACCTTCTTGCTGGAAGACAAAGTCTAGATAGTAAGTAGCTTTACTATGGGTGAGGAGCAACATACCTTTGAAGAGGAGCAATTTATAAAAAACGATTGAAAATATCTCTAATTTTCAAACCATCTTGATTTTCCCACAGAAAAATAGGCCAAGATGATAAAAAAGATTATAGAAAAAGAATGACACATTGACTTGCATACTTTGGGAGGTGAGCAATTTGAAAAAAAAACAAACAATTGAAAATAACTCAAAAAATTTGATATTCAAACCAACCAATCCTTCACCTTCATTTGCATACAGAAAAATAGGCAAAGAGAAAAATAATGGCTGTACAGACATTGACTTAACATAATGTCGCTGACCACAACCGTCTATAACAAGCCATGGTGAGCTGCATTATCATTGTAAAATATTGTTGAAACCTAATGAACAGTGTAAGGAATGATCTAATGATCGAGAAATACTTTAAAGTGTGTGCAAAGTCCACCAAAAATAGTTAACGAATTGAGGTTGTTTCCTTTTTTTTTGGAAGTAAAGTAAGTAATTTCAACATTTCTTATAAGTTGTTGTGTGACAACATTTAAGCCAATTTACTCTTCAATAACAAGAATACATCGTGAAAATTGATGGGGTCCAAGTTCCAAAACCTACCAAGATATTTCCCTGAACATGTTGAGTGAATCATTATTGAATCTTGATGAAAAACTTCAGAAATGTTGAGTTCAAAATGACAAAATAGTTTATTGCGAAAAATCCGAACTTTCCATTTATGAGCAGGTAGTTAGGGAATTTATGTCCATAAAACAGTTAGTAAAATATATTTTCATCAATCAGGTTCGCAGTCAGATGTTTTTTATGTGGAAATAACCTCCCAAGTTGTAATATTGAAGGAAATGAAGGTCCAAGTTTCACTTGGTGATAATGAATGAGGGTCAATGATTCAAAATGGATCTTCCTAATGAGAAGATATATCTGGAAAGCCCTCCCAATATCTTGTGAAAATTCCTCACCTCATTCTAAAAATCTCGAAATTTTAGTTGATCCAGTGAAACAAGTTCACAAATAGATATTCTTCTTGTACGATAATTATGTATTAGATATATAGAAGACTGGAACCTTCAACACGATAATCACACTACACTGTATGTATTTCATGTTATCAGAGCTGATGTTTCACACCGCTTCGGCGTATGAACTTCCCAATTTTTTCTTCTTCAAACATGAATATTTCCCCTAGCACTAACCTTCGCAACAATAATTAGGTCTAATGTTTCTTCATCACTGACGTAGAGTGAAAGAGTTGTCATCATTTTGATGAATGGAATTTACATAACTCCAATATGAGCATTTTGACATTTCATTCAAATAGGGATATTAATATCATCTACGGAAATGACATGGATGGTACCTTCTGTCGAGAGTTTAATCGAATTAGTTCAGGAGTGTGGTTTCAAAATATTATGCATTAAAACCGTTTCATGAATTGGGCGTCTGTATATCGGAAATCATTACAAATAAAAGCTTCACAATTGAATGGTCGATGAAAAATGGAATTGACAGTTGTTTATCGTTCCTATGCGACGTTGCCATTATCTTACCACGGCTTGTTATAGAGACGGTTGTGTCAAAAATTGGTCAAAGAACGGCTGTGGCTGTTGGAGTCCTTGAAGGAGGAGTAGGACCAGCCTCCTTCCTAAATAAATCATCAGTTTGAAAAATGCAACTATAATCTATTAGATAGATAGATCTATTATATAATTCATATCAATCAATTGATGAAAGACTCAACTAAATCTAAAGTTATCGATATATTATGAAGAGCTTTTTTCCACTTAGGACCCCTCAAAAGGTATAATACAAACACCTTTTTCAACTTAGGACCCCAATAAACATGTATTTGAATATCCGGCTCGAAGGACCAAAATGTTTCGGTTCTTTATTCGAGTTGTTCCGTGTGTAATGAATTGATTCAAGAATAGTCTCTTTATGAAACCGAAATAATACATGTTGAAATCCAGCAGACCCCACCATCAAAACCTCTTCGCTAGAGGAGAAAGTAACCTCGCTCACGCGCCAGCTCATCTCTGAGACCCAATCCAAGGAGCGCCTGCGCGAGGAGCTGGAGGAGACCTCCAAGTACGCGGAGTCTTTGGAGAAGGAGAAGGACCGTCTGGAGGAGGACTTGGAGGACGCGATAGCGAGAGGTAACGCCGTCGAGGGCGATCTGATGCAGGCGCGGCAGAAGATCGCCGAGCTGATCGAAAACGGGAGGCAGGAGATCGTTTCCGAGGGATATGGGGAGGAGGGGACCAAGATGAGGGGGTTAGGTGAGTTGTCGGTATCTGTTTGTTATGATTATTTTACTCATCACTTAATCTGATGGACTGGTGGTAACACAATTTCGTGAACAATGAATCTACAAAATGACCTTGAATATTCATAACATCACGATTGAGATGTTTGAAATTGCTCTGGTGTGCCCACTCTTCAATTGTTTCGTCAGATTAGCTCTCGATATGAACAATTGAATGCGAGTTCGGAACGTGAGGTTCACATTGTCGATGATAGATGGCGTGAACGATAAAAAATCTCATGGAAAATGCGTTTTGAATGTGATGAAGTTGAACTAGACTTTCAAGGGTGTGCTTTCCTTCTTTCGGGACCTGAAGAGTCCCGTTGATAATTCTAAGATTTTCTGCGTGCAAATGCGCAGTCGTCCAAAGTGTGTCACGTGATTCATTGGGACCAATAAGGACTCGTACATTGGAATTCTTCGACAGATTCAGCTCAACTTCAACTGTTGTGTGAACCCATAAGGTTGGCAACGAATGAAAAATCATGATTCGATGACATCTTCATATTGATAATTTTGTTTGAATTTCAAATAGAAGTATGAATTATTGGGTATGGTAATTTATGAAAGCATTATTGGTTAGCAGATATGAATCAAATAAAAGAAAGATCCAATATACCGGGTGGCTACGGAAGTATTGCCTACGGAATATCTCAGTTATTGTATGAAGTAGGTTTGTGAAATTTGAAGCGTCGATATTTGAGCATATTGACATGTCGAAGATAACTTCCGGTCTGACCGGAAGTAACATCAACTTTCTTATTTCAAATGGAAACCCTTTTTTTTTCTTCTCGCTTTTATTCAGCATTCAATTCCCTTTCTAATGACATATTACAAGTTGGTATCTAACCAGAAACTAGATCAGAAAAAAATTATTATTGAAATTCACCGAGTAGGCCGTGGAAGCAAAATGAAAGCCAAAAATTTAAAAGTTGGCTATAGAAACCATACGTCACTTGATAACAGTTGCTACTACTGTGATATTTTATTTTCATTCGTCGGCGTTATAAAAAGCCCCAAAAAAAAAATATTGGAATAATTGGGAAAAAACAATACTCTGTAGGTCCATAACTTAAATAGGAACATACAACTTTTTCTTGCCTGTACTATTCAGCATAACCATTTATTTCTAATGATATAATAGAAAGTAATTTTTTGAAATGAAATCCTAAAAAATCCAATTATTATTCTTCAAACGGCCTACTCGGTGAATTTCAATAATAATTTTTTTCTGATCTAGTTTCTGGTTAGATATCAACTTGTGATATGTCATCAGAAAGGGAATTGAATGCTGAATAAAGCGAAAAGAAAAAAAATAGGGTTTTCATTTAAAATGAGAAAGTTGATGTTACTTCCGGTCAGACCGGAAGTTGACTTTGACATGTCAATATGCTCAAATTTTAGCTCTTATGTCATTATATCGACGCTTCAAATTTCACAAACCTACTTCATACAATAACTGAGATATTCCGTAGGCAATACTTCCGTAGCCACCCGGTATATATATATAATATTAGGTGATAAGACTGTATTGTAATTCTTGTGTATTGAACTAACGTTGCTGCAATGTGTGAGGATTATTAAAAAAAATCCAAAGATTCGTTATATGTACATACCAAAAGTGAGTAAAGAAATGATCACTTATAATCTCCCTGGCAGCAGAATTGTCACCGATATTTTTTTCCAAGGTCACGAATGCCTTTGTTGATAGAAAATTATCCCGAGTCGAAAACGAGGAAAATTTTCTCTCAACAAACACATGAGTGATACCGACAAAAAAATTATCGGAAATTAATTCTGCGTAGATGTCAAATTAGATTTGACACTTAGGTATAACTCGTTTTTTTTACTGAAATGTGAGAAACATTGAATAACAAATTTGTTATCATCTGAAATCCAATGTCTCCATAGTTTTTAATTCAAATAAAACTTGAAAATACATATTTCCGATGAGTTAAGTTGAATATGGCGCACTATATTTTTAATATAGATGTTGATTTACTTGTTAGTAACTAAGGTTTATTAATAAAACTTCAGGAACATTAGAAACCTCAATTCATTTACAATTACTAAAATTTCAAGAACATCAAAGACAAGAATTCATGTAACAACATTTTAATATGACAAAATACACATATATGGATATTCTCAAAGCTAGTTCCTTATTGTATGTAAAACTGTACCCGAGTGATAAAGTATAAAGCATGAAGACTGTTTTGATTTTCCACCTTTTGCCAAGTCCAATTAGCCAAATGTTATCACTACGGCAACAATTCATTGGAATATTCACGATTTCTGTTGAGCCGTTGCCTAGTGATTGAATAAAATATATTTTTTTCTAATTTTGACATGTAATTTGACACTTTTCAAAATAACAGGAGTTTTGAAACGTTTCTTCACGTAACTAGATAGCCTAAGATTCATCAACTCTTCAATAATAACATATTCAAATATATTCAATATTCAAATATTTTGACGTGATAAGGTTACCCAAACATCATCTAGTCTTCTTTCATATAATCTGTATGTCAACATGCAATAATTATCGATAAAGATAATTTAATTTCTTTTATCTGCATGCATAATTAGTACAACCACTTTTCTTATCCATTCCACAATTTCCACATCTTCAAAACTGTTTCTTCTTTTCATATTTTCAGTATTGTGATATGACATTTGTTTTGGTTGTGTGAGTTAGCTCCTTACAGCACTTTGAAAATTTCATTCGAAAAAATATCTCTGACCCAAACATATCCGAAGGTATGAGGTATGAGTGCGATCACCTTTTTCTAGATGACACTCTGTCCATGTTGGACGAATTGCAAGAGAAAGCCAGAAGCATGTTGGCAGAATCGAGGTCCACTGCCGATCCGACTCTCCTTCACCTGATCGAAGAGTTGTGCAGTGTTGGGGAACGGATCAAAGAGGAATCTAAGAAAGATCGACATGATTTGATCCAACAGGTAAGTGGACATTATCAAAGTATTTTATCTACTCACCGAATTGAAAGGAAGCGTTTGCTCCCTCATTCAAGGACACAAAGCTGTCAATTTACTCCCACGGGAGGAAAAAACATTACCTCCCGTGGAAGGTAAAATAAATTGGCTTCAGCATGCTTGGCAGAGATATTATACCTACCTATGAGATCCATTATATCCAAGTAATCTATGTCGTCACTATCATAAAACAAATAATAATCTCATTTTCGAATTCCAATTATGATCTCATATACTTCATCATATTCCAAACTTACTTGATCAATACATTCAAATGCAATTACCCAATAAACAAATTCCTTTGTTGTTGAGAAGCAAATTATTACTTTTCTAGAGCAACATAATTTGTTTCAAAAATAAAAGTAATTTTTTGATGACCTTCGATCAAACGAGTTGTATTTGATGAGATTATTTCAAGAATGAATTAATAACTGCAAACTTTCATTTATTGTTGATACTGATATCGAATGTCTAGCTTGTAGAGTTATTTATTTTTACATTGTGTAAGTCTAAATCATTCTGATTGGTGCTACTATTCACAACTGTATGGGATATATCATTTTCACCTCGAAGGTTTGATATATTATTCCAGCATGGTGTTCCTTGCTGACCTGTAAATATGGTTTTATTGATGTTCAATTACTATGGTTGGTAACTTTGATTATTTGTTTTTCTCCGATTCCCGAACTTGCCAACTGACAACTCTGACTCTCTTTGTATCTGAACCAATCTTCTCAGCTGCTAATTTGGTCCACTTATTTATTTTATTTATTTCCATTGGTATGTTTTTGAACCAAAGGCTATTATGATACTTATTCCAGAAACTGTCAAAATAGCCGGTCCGTTTTAATGTTCATTCCTCTTTTCGAAACCAGTTTTTTTTTAGCAAACAAACTGGACAGGTTTCTGAATTGTCCTTATTTGGCACAAGCCATTCACTTTCAGCCATAATTTTCGAACCCCCCATCTCCAGTCTCCCATCGTTATTTATTTCTCCTTTGAAAGACAGAACTACATCGACAAGCCTCACCGCCTGTCATGCTGATTCCACTGCGATAATATGATAGAATTTTCTTTGTAGTCCACTTGGAGTATTTTCATCCCAACTTTGGATGATGTTTGTGATTTCTTCTGTCGTCAGTGATACAGGTGGCCAGCGTAGCCTCGTGGTTAAAGCGTCAATGTTTTAGCCACGTTGGATTACCGGTAGCTGGGTTCGATTCCCACCACGACCGCAGATCTTTTTTTGATGGCCTAAAAAAAGTGTTTGGGATCACACGTTAAAAGGTAAGACCCCCGTCATTCTTTGCTCGCACAAGTCTCTTGAAGACTTCTGAGGATTGCTCGTAAGGGGGCAACCGAATGATGGATAAGAACAGTTTTTAAAAACACAAGACATTTTTTCTTTTTTCCGGAATACTTTGTGGTTTTCTTTTCATGCTTTTTTGCATTCCTAGATCAACTTGAAAAGTTAAATCTTCAAATGGATCGAATCGTCGATTAGTTTCGTTATGATATCTTTCATGAAGTAATTTGGCAGTGTTATTCCAAATAGACTTCTTTACCATTTCTTTGTACTTACTTTCCATCGGTTTTACGCATATTGAATGCTCATTCCGTGAGGATATCCGCAAGTTCTTCATCAGATGTATTTTCTTTCAGTTGGTGATTTCGTTGATTGCGAAATTCTGTGAATTGTTTCCAGATATATTTTTTCGATCGCACGGTATTTTGCGGCGTTAGATCTTGAATTTCATCGAGATATTAACCCCACTTCATCGCGGTCCATCAACCATAGACCATCAACAGAACGCTTATGCAACTAACAAAACAATACTCGGCATTGTGTTTGTTTGCCGTTTTGTCGTACAAGGAAGGTTATGTCAAAGTTATGATTTATGAATTATTTAGAATTCAACGAATATTGTTGGGTCTTTTAAAATAAGATCTAGAAAATAAGCGTACGCCACCTATCGAAGCTTTTGTTTTCATTGGTTCACAAAAAAATCATGACCCCACCCTCTAAAACTACCTATTATTACTATAGCAGAAAAGTAGTGCATTAGAAAAATAAATTTTATCAACATACATTCATGCAGGAAATTTCAATTTGGTGGCTTTTTCCGTTTAGAAGTTATGCAGAAAAATTATTTCAATTTAATCAATTTCTGGGTCATTAGTTCATTTATCAAAGTATACCTATTTTTCAATATTCTATCACTGCCAGAAAGCTCGGTACACATTTTTGACTCACCCTGTATAATATTTGTTCGTAAAAAAGAATATATCTTCTTCTGTTCAATAATCATACACTGGTTGATAATATCTTGTGTTCAAATTCGAATTTCACTATTTACACAACGATCTTATCATTGTAATTCAAGGGCCGTATTGAGCAACTCTGTACTGAGGTAACTTAACGAAGAAACAGCATATCTTAGTTAAAAAATTATTTGATGGGTTTTCGTGAACACTTTTTACATACACCCTGTAAACACACAAATATTATAACTAGATTTGGAATTTATATTACTAATATCGTTCACCTTGTATTGGGTATTTATCAAGTCATGTTTTTGTTGTTGTGAAAAAGATACCCAAATATTGGAAGATAACTTTTTGTTGGCACATTGTTGGTGTGCGAATTTAAATGTGAAGTGAATTATTAATTGATAGTAATTTATTTATTGTTATAGGTATTATACACTTTATTAACTTGTTCGTAATGTTAAGTTTTTGTTTTGATTATTTGTTAAATTCATATCGATTATGGAACCCCTACATGGAAATTCAAATTTTCATTCCATTCCTGGTGGTATTTTCTATACTGATTTTCTGTGGTGTTTTACTACAAATGGTACGTTGCTGATAAAAAATAATGTACAGTGTGTCCGATTTCAACTCGCAACACCATCATTTTTCTTCTCCGATAGTATAGTATTATTTTTTGGATGTATGACAAATAATTAATATTCATCATACTGGAAAGAAATTCTAAATTGAGAAAACCTAATCACGAATCTGCGATTGAAGGTTTATAAAAATAACAAGTTTGCATCTTTCAAGTTTGAACCCCTTGATTTGGTGAAAGCATTGAAAAGGTATATTCTCAGATAAATGAATATCCAGGAAAGTGATTGTTTTTCGTTAAATATTCAGAATGATGTTTTGTGCAAATACATATCATTATCTGAAGGATAATGCAAATTTTCAACTTTAGAGGTTTAGTTTTCAAATTTTTATCATGTATGTTCAATAGATATAATTCAATGTTCGTTGTGGCATATAGCCAGAAAAGTAGTGTTTTCTGTTGACTATTCCACTCTTGATCTCGAGAACCAATCAGAATCGACCATTTTCATGGTTTCTTCTGTATTCTAGCGATATTTTTTGTTTATTAAATTTTATCGGACTTGCTCTACCAATACAGAAGCCGAATTGACCCACACGTGACTAACTAACCTCGTTTATCAGCGATAAAATTTTGACATCGTGTCTGGTCAAAATTGCTTTTGATTCAAATCTGAGACAATCACCTAGGTACCTACTTCATTTTATTTACTTATAATTCGTGTTAGTGAGACATTTTGTACGAAAGGCGAGACAATTTTATTCTGGCTGGACGTTTCATGTGTAATTTAAAAAGTTTGCATATTTGTTGACGGTCTGACACAACAATACTAGAATTCAAATTCCTATTTAAAGTAATCTTCTTCAATCACTCAAGTTATTGTGACTGATATAATTACCAGATGATATAGCGCAACTGATAGGGTTGTTGCGCGAAGATACGAAGGCCGATGGTTCGAGCCCCTCGGCGACGATATCTTTTTTTAAAAATTGTTTCATGTCACATAAATTCAATTTATTTTGTTTGAATTGGATAGCAATTTTATACACTCTTTTGGGAGCAACCATTTCCAAGATGATAAAAAAAATACTGTATCAAAATTGTACATTATTGTGAATAACTATAAGTAAGTAGTTAATTTCTGAAGAATTGAATTTTGTATATCATTACTATCATTATGTTCTTCTTCGCAGTTCGAGTTGGAATATACTTAAATTATGTTCCCTATTTCTTATATATATTGTCCCATTCAACATTCAATCATGAAATAGTCATACGAATACAACTCGTGATACTATTTTTCCTGGAAATATTCTTCGATTGACATACTCCAGCTTGCTGCTCTGATTTCGCTCATGACATTGATCCAAAACTACTCGCCTACGGCTCGTAGTTTTGATAACAATGTCATTCACTAAATTACTAGGCAACAAGCTGTCGTAACAATCACCGAATATTTCCGGCAAAGTATTATCACTTGTGGTATTATATATGAATAAACCGAGAAAGAATTGATATTTTTATCACATACAGTATGCGAATTCTCAATGTATTTCTTTATATGTATATCCATTTTTAATTTTTTTATGTTCATAATTTATCTGAGATTATTACTTTTCAATATAAACTACACAACACTAATTTCGTCGCACCCCAAAATTTTGTGCCTGTTAACATATGAATAACTTTTTTCTGCTTTGAACAATTTGAATTCGGATTACTGAGGTTCTTCATATAAAATCGCTACAGGGTGTCACCTGAAACTCTGAAAAATTTCGGAATTTTCAAGAGGATCCCAAATGAACAAAAAATTTTTTACAGAGTGATCTCAAGAAATTAACTTTCTGGTGTTGCAGTCATAACTTTTTTCCCTGTCAACCAGTTTTTAAAATCTCATTCTGAAGTTGAAACTTCAGATGAAGAGATATGAAGATCAGAATTGACTCAAGATGAACATTATACAGTGTGTCTCACTTCTAATGGAAGCGCTCCATGTATGTTTCGTAATTGTTGAGTTAGGATTCTTCTTTGCCGGATTTTTTTTGAGAACACGAATATTTCGAAAATTATCCCGAGTCGAAGACTATTGAGCATTTTTTAAATAGACATGGATATACTCTTTAGGGTTGAAAGTTATGTGCTCAATTTTCCTAGATAGGGTCCTGATAGACGGAAGAGGAAACTTTATTCACAGCAGGTGTTCATAACCTGTGGTACATTTATTCTTTTGCGACGTGCATATTCTTCGCTGAAAACTATTTATGGTGTTAGGCATGTTCTTCCTTTTAAATTGAAAGTTATTATGTGTGAAACTCTCGTTTTATCACATTTCAATCATGCCAATTGTGTCTATGGACCACATTTAACAAAACTTTACAAAAATAAGATACAAAAGCTCCAAAATTCATGCTTGAGATTGATGTATGGGATAAGAAGAGGCCAGAGAATCTCTCATAAGATGAAAGATGCTGCTTGGCTGACTATGGAAAACAGAAGACTTCATCAGACCGCTAACCTCTTTCATAGAATTATCATCAGTAAAAAACCTTCCTATCTCCATAAAAAAATTGTTTTCCGTACGGACGTTCACAATGTGAATATTAGGTTTAGAGGAGTATTGTCTCCTCCCCCTTTCAAAACAGAACTTTTCCGAAGATGCTTCAGTTATCAAATATGCCATATTTACAATAATATTCCACATCAATTGAAATCAGCAGTGTTTCATAAATTCAAAACGAATATATTTTCACATCTGTTTAATTCAAATCAATAACAACATTCAGACTTCCTATTATATGTTATCATCCATATGTACTATTTTTTCACTTTTTCTAATTTCTTCCTTTGTTGTTCCTATATGTTGAATTGTAGAGGTATTTGAGGGTTAAGTGGTAGAGCAATTCAGTGGACGGAGTCATCTAGAAACTGAGTTGAACTTCGCCCTTTGCTTCTGAAAATTATTATCCACCCATACTTTATATATCATTTTCTATTAAGAAGCAATAAAGACGTTTATTATTATTATTATTATTATATTCAGTGGCATAACTTGCTGCATAATTACAAAAAGTGAAATTTCGCAGGTGTACATAAATTAAATGGCGAACGATCCGATTCTATTCAAAATTGGTATCTGAAGGTTTTCGGGGTCGGGATCATGATTCTTTCGTCAAATTGGTAAATTCAAGATGGCGGATCCAATATGGTTGTCGAGTTTTGATATTATGATCCGAATCCATTCAAAATTTTTATCTGCGTTTTTCCGGGATCAGAGATTATGATTCTTCCGTAGAAATTTTGAAATTCAAGATGGCGGATCCAATATGGCGGAAGAGTTTTGTAATTATGATCCGATTATATTCGAAATTGGTATCTGGGGGTTTTTGAGTTCGGAAATAATGGTTATTTCGTCGAAATTGGTAAATTCAAGATGTTGGGTGAGACAAAAAAGTATTGCTAGCCGTGATTAATCAAAAACAAGTTTTCCAATCAGTCAGATCCCAAGAATAAATGCGATACAGATCAAGCAAGTATGTGAATCTTGAAGGCTTCCCTGATCAAAACAAAAATACTCAACAATAATATGGTGTATATATATCTTCAGCATGGGTATGAAATGCCAAATCTGCCGAAATCGGGAACAAATCAGGTATACGTCCTAACCCAAATAACCAACCATAACAATGTTGTTTATTCTTGATAACCTAGTACATCCTTTTTAGTTTCTAGGAGCTAAAGTTCAACTTTAGCTCCTAGGAACTAAAAGTGTGCTTAGCAACATAGCCAATGTTGGTATTAAAACTTTTGTGTCGGTTGCAGAAAAATAAGATTATGGTGTATTGGAAAAAGAATGATCATGATAATGTGATCTGAATAATAATCAGTATCGTTCACTAAATAGTCCACAGGATCTACGGAAACTCTGGTTCAAGTTTTTTTATTACCAGCTTTAAGAAGTCAAGATGCGATGTATTTTGACACATTTATATCTTCTTGGTAGGTATGCTGATTTTTGTTTGTGTCAGTAATAGAAACGTCAATTCATGAGCTAATTTTGGTATTAAAATTGACGACTTTCCTGTCCTGATTTCATCGAAGATTTTCCGTTAACGGGTTCGCCTTTTCAAGTTTCTGGAACGATTTCAATCCCAGTTTTCTAACACAGAAGGAATTTATTTTTTATGTCGATCATTTCGACAAATGTCAAATGTCACTAATGTCAGTAACAAGGCTACGGGGGGATTCTCAGTAGTTTCCGGATGAATGATGAATTCGTGAACCAAGTTTTCTTCATTGCAGGAGAAATATAGTCGACGGAAAAATTTTGTAACCAACTCGTATATTAAAAGGCGATTAATGATCTCGAACATTAACATTAAAATATCTGAATCATTAATCGCCCTCATTAACACACTAGTTGGTTAAATAACTATTTATTCCTGCTCAGATCGACGTCGCCGACAAGAAGTACCGCACCACGCAATCGTTCCTCGAAGAGCAGGCCATGGAGAGGGAGCAGGAGCGCGACGAGTCGCACAGACAGCTCGAGAGTCTGCGCGCGCAGCTCAAGGACAGGGACAAGGACAAGGCCAGCTGCGAGCGGGCCGCTAACGAGGTAAGAGTGATGGTAGAATTGGTGTATGCGGGCAGCTTCAGCACCGACATAGCTCACTAGACCGCTGATGTAAGATGGAAGCTCATTCGTTAGACAGATCGAACTAGAGACCTCAGACTAAATAATAATAGATATACATGCATCGCAATTAGGGTTGTGCCACCCTTTTTTCATTTCGCAGGACGTCCTGAATTTGAGGTACTTTATCTTGCGTCCTGCAGGAAGCTAAATGTCCTGAATTTTGTGGCCTGTCGAGGTGTCATCATCAACATCGTCTAATGGAGTTTTCCAGCTATGAAATTTATTTATATTGTCACGATCCTTGGCTTCCCGATGGTATAATAACACCACTGGATCATCTTTGAGGTTAGCTCAGATAGGGTAGATTATATTAACTCAGACACTAGTAGTTAAGGGGTATGAGAAGTAGTAAAAACCATATTCAAAACATAAATACATCCATTAGATTATCATCATATAGAGGAGGAATCATTATAAATACGACATACAATATATAAAATGGTTGAATAGTACTTACAATATAGATAGAGCCATTTCGGAGAGGGTTGTCGGGTAGAGCGCACAAAGACCTAACTAAACTGATTAACGCGATAACCGACTGTACAAATCGACAGTTCACACCACCGACAGCAACTGCCTCTGGAATATCCACAAATCTATATTCATCTGAAATATCAATTACTGTTATTGTTTAGGTAATTTTCGGTACGTCGCTGTTAGAGGTTACTCAGTCGTACAGGTTGTTGATGAGTCAATGTCAAAACGTTTTCCAAATGTTTATTAAATTACGGTGCGATGTGAAGAAGCACGATTTGGAATTTATGAAAATATTGAATTAATGATTTCGATTATAATTTTGGAATAATTACTTATTTGTGGCAATATTCATCTGTAGGTAAGTATAAGAAGGACAGATATACAGAGTGCAGTCATACATTGTCGGTTTTATTCAACGGAACTTGCTATGCACTTTTTTTTTCGTATGTACCTCTCTTTCTAGACGATTTTTCTTTGAGGAAGCAGCACTTATGATTGATATGTTATTAGGTCAAGTTTGATATTAGCTCAAATTCAAGTGAAATGAGTGGTGATAGAGTCCAGTCAGTTACAATGGGGGACATCAGAGAGGGAGAAAACGTCTATTGGAAGTGCAGCAGTTATTTGAAAAGCATAATTGATCTATCATCTCTCAATGCCATTCTCATATGCGATGTTTAACCCCCTCTCCACCCACTATTGTATAAATCATGTAACGATACCACTTCTAGTAATGAATAGATCCGATGAAAGCGCCAGTGACGTATCATGGATGTTCAAGAAGCGGTTGTTAGGTGAAGTTAACTAAGAAAATAATGAAAGACTGTAATTTTGTACTCATAGCGGTATAGAGTTTCATAATGTTAACTTTGCTGACTGATGCTGCTGATGATTTCGAGTGACTTTGGGATTTGGAGGGATTCTGCCGCCTGGTGTGTGATGAGAACTCGACCTCCCTGCCGATTGATCGACGTATGTCCCGTTAGCTCAATTGGCAGAGCGTTGGGCATGTAACCCAGAGGTTGTGACTCCGACTCTCACGCGAGGCGGTGGAGTTTTTTCATTTTCCGTTCGAAATTAGGGCTTTCCATCATCTTCATAATTATATGTATCTTTTCGGTCGAGTAACCGACAAAAATTATCACTCACTCCTATGTAGAGATAAATGAGTCCAGTCGAGCAATTCGGATGATATTATCGGGTTGCTGGTATATGACGTATAGCGGTCTAGATAGTAGCTATGTCGGTGAATTTTTTCACAGCAATAGGTTTGTGCGCGTTCGAAAAATAACCAGTCCGAAACCATCAGAAGCATGCGCAGTTCCACGGTACTTGATAAAGTCGTACTGTTCTGTGAAATTGCGCATGCTCCTGATGGTTTCGGACTGTTTATATTTTGAACGCGAACAAGCCTAATGATTCTTAGTATCGGATTTGGCTGGATCCTAGGCAGTGCACAGTCACCGCTCTGTTTCGTCCCAACCAAGCATCGACTATCCATGATGTATATAATCTTTGTCGCGGTTGACAGACTATGAAATGTAGTCGCATCACGAAAAAGTGATTGACGTCATTGCCATCTTCCTTTATGATATTCTCTTTCTCAGACTTTCCAGCTTGAGATGTATAAAATGTATAATTGTATAATGTCATGCGACGTTGCCTACTTTTCTAGCGATGCGAAAACCGTTCTTTTCTGTCAACCGTGGGCTTCCTTGGCCTGTAGACATATTGGCGTTCTTTACATTGATACGGCATATTCCTACTGCGCCAGTTATGGCTGAAGTATGTTATATTCTTAATAACGGAACTATAGATAATAGTATCTATAATGTAAGAAGTAATATTTTTCAGAAGTTTGTCGAGTGTAGTGATATTCTTTCGTTCTGAACGAACTGACACATTCCACTTGAACTGAACTGAATCAGTTGACATGCAATGAACGTCATTTGAAAGCACGCATATTAACTGATCCAGTTCAGTTCAAGTGAAATATTTCAGTTAATTCAGATTGAAAGAATATCACTTGTGACAGGTTTGATGAAACGAGACGTAGACGAGTTTGTTAATAGAAAAGGAGAATCTTTGTGTGATGAGGCTCCATCAACAAGAAATGGGACTTTTTCTGAAAGTAATTTTTGGAGAATATCCCGAGAGATACAATGTAGAGTCAGCTAATATTTATTTCCATTTCAGTTCAACTAACGATGGCAACTTATCTAAATATTGTTATTTTTTTCAAATTCGATATATCGGAAAATCAAAGAGAATGTGAAGAATTGGCCCCAAATCAATGTAAAGAGTGCCAATATTGGGCCTGACTTGAGTGCTTTCCACATGGTATGCAAGCTTTATGCGTTTTAACTATCATACTACTAAAAAAACTTGCTAAGGGAAAAACACTATTTGCTATATTATGTCTAATTTCAAGCGAAGTGACTACGGTTCAGAGTGACGTCATACATGGAGTAGCTTCATTTTTGTTTATTGGCCTTAGGGTTTGCGATTTTAGCACTTTGAAAGAGATCGAGGCCAAAGTTTGAAAAATTACAAATTCTAATGAACAATCAAATTCATCATAAGGCAATATCATTAAGACAATAAAAGCTTGCATATCAGGAATCCAGTTTTCTTTTCCACTCACTAATATGCTTTGTCACTTTTGTGTATTTTGATTATGGCATTTTATAATGAGAATAACTGTTTTGTAATTTTCTTTATTGAACTCTTTTTTTTTCATCAGATTGAGAAAGAATGATAGAGCAAAAACAAATTTAGTGGAACATCTCTAAGATTAGTTATATTTGGAGTCATCCGTTATCTAAATTTACATTTCCTTATATATAAGAGGTTATTTGCTTTCAACATCTGATTTTTGAATGGTGTGGAACTCTATATTTGGTGAAATATTATCATTAATCAAAGTAGCTATGAATATTTTTTCATTGGCATGTACACTTGTACAGATTGATCCACCATGAATTCCCCCTTCCTCCTGTAACTTTCTTGTTTTGAAAAATCCCAAAGCCTGTTGGAGGGACTTTTCCCAAATTATCCTAAGAGTGTACTAACTGAATGAAAGAAATAAAAGAATAATTCTTGAAATGTTTTCAAAGGAATTCAGATGCCATTTTACTCCCTGAATTCAAGCTAGATTCTAAATTGAGGAATCGAAGATCGATCGCCAGTTTGTGATATGACATTCATAGCCGTTCCATTCTTTTTTGGGGTGATTTGAACTTCATTAGGTATTGCTTGAAAAATCAATGTTAGAATAGATAAGTAGGCGCGTTAAATAATTTTTTATATTATCTATTATTTTGTTCGTTCAATTTTGCATTATTATACTGAGGTTGTTTTAAAAGGCTATTGAAAGGAGAGAATTTATGGTGGATCGCTTGGTACCATATACGTATTAATAAACAATACGGATCATAACGGGTGCCAGGATGAAGCCAAAAATATGAAACAAATGAATATCCATAAGGATTTGGTGGCATGATACGCATGCGCCATGCGCTATTATAGTAGTCATCAAAGACATGCGTTTCGGTGGACAATGACGTTTACTAGCCTTTCAATCAAAGCAGTATGTGTCTGATCGTTTCAAAACTATTCCTTATGGATAGTCATTTGTCTTCAAAAATCGGCTTCATGTTTCGCTATAGAAACAGATAGAGATTATCCGTATTGATTATTAATACGTATATGCTTGGTACAAACACTAATATTCATCTTATTCTTCACAATAAACTGATTGATAAAAGCTAAGGATATTTTACAACGCGAACGACATAGATATTAATAGCTATATCACATATTCTCTAGACGAATGTCATTGCAGAAATACAATATCCTCAACTCACGCAAATGACATAAATATCAATAGCTATACCACATTTTTCGAGAAAAATATCTTTATAGCAAAAAACAATATCCTTAACTCTGTTCGATTAGTTAATGTACAAATCATAAAATCTCTTCCATAATACGTGGTTGTGTTCATCTGTACTCATGAACTGACAGTTGTCAATCTGAATAATTCTTTGAAAAGTAATGTCTATTATTCTTTCTTAACCCATATTCATTAACAGAAGGAAAATCAGTTTGATTCCTAAACTCACTGTTGCCAAAATGTTTTTCATTAACTTCTCAATAGGAGAACCGGCTTCAGATTTCTACCGTCATCTGATAACGAAATGATATATGTCCCAAAGGAATGTAAAAACATTTCAGTTCATCGAACGGCACCTGTGCCAATCACTATCCTGAGCAAAATGATTGAAAAATTGCACTTTCCTGTGCGGAAATTTGCACTCGATTTCGCGATGTGATAACGAGATGAAATTAATGCCGTCCGAATATCCAAACGTGCCGCGATTCAAATTGATCTAAGTTAGTGACAGAGCGTCAATATTTCCGTGAATATCTCGCCCTCGTCGAAAGATAATATCCGATGGACCAGTGTGAAAGTCATGTCGTGCTCACACTACAAGTATTCTAATCCACATGGTGAGTTTACACTGGTCCATCGGATATTATCTTTAGCGGATGGCACTAACTTAGATCAGTTTGAATTGCGGCACGTATGGGAATTCGCAAAGGCGACATCATCCCATTCTAGTTGTTTCTTATTTCAACTCGTTATCACATGATGTAAGTATGTCCGGAATAATAGCAGCAAATAAATCGCTTTGCCTCAGATTTGGCTCAGACTGAGGGGTGGCATAGGCATGTTTTTGAAATCTACCATTCAATTGGTATCGAATTGCATAATTCTTTCTTCGTTATCACATCGCGAAATCGAGTGCAAATTTGAGCACAGGAAAGTGCAATATTTCAATCATTTTGCTCGCGATAGTGATTGGCACAGGTGCCGTTCGATATACTACAATGTTTCTACATTCCGATTGTCAAATTCGAATAATGTCTTCGGTTGCAAGTACCGTCTTCAACTGAACTACCGAAAAACCTTTAAAACTGACTTGTCGATTCGCTGAACCCGGAGACCCCTTTTTTCCTGTTGAACGCATTTCGCAACTCTGCATCGTTGCCACACTGTGTATAAATTATCGACTTTAGGTATTAGTCCAAACACTTTGAGACATATATCATTTCGTTATCAGATGATATATGTTTGAATTATCTGGCATGTGTTTTTGGGTGGATTTCAGGTGATTGGTGTTTGCAGTAGACAAATTAGATGCACATCCTCACAGGTAAATTTGATGTTAACACAAAACGAGACACATAATATATTGCTTCAAAAGATTCTCAGCAAAATAGGGTCACCATCGTTGAAAATTGTTGAACCGTTCGAGAAAACTGAAATTTGGAAAAAAAATTGTCGGCCCTGTTCGGGGAGATAACTCGAAATGAAAGACATTCCCATTATCATTTCTCTGAAATTTTGGGAATCTCTCTCGTCTGTATAAATAAAATTATTATTATCATTTCAACATAAACATGGAATAATTCTTCAAGACATATGGCAAGAGAATTGAAAGTAAAATCATAGAAAACGATGATAAAATCATAGAATCCGGAACGTAGACAATAACATTTATTTCTGTTCAGTTGATATAGATACTCCTTAAATCTAAATATGGAAATGGTAAATTCAAAATCAATCAATAAAAACATCCTGTATCTCACCCTTTTGTATCAACTTTTTTTTGTCACAAGTGTCAGTGACTTTACTCAAAACTGAACATATAACATTAGTATAAATAATTACTCTACCACAAATCAAAAATATGTAGGATGCAAGAATGAAAATAACGTGCCTATAAGTTATACTGTACCTACTTCTTAGTTTTAGTTCTTTAATAAATTTTGGTTGTTAGTTTCATGAATAATTCATTTGAAAATGATTTCATTTGGGGGAGACAGAAAAATCATAAGTATACCATGAGGGTGAAGTGTCTTTTCCTCCATTGTTATACAAATAGCTATTTTTACATCCCCAGACTTCAATTGTCGTCCGGAAATGTATTGCTTTTACTACTAGATACTATTATTTATAAAGACGAGAAGAGGAAATGTAGAGAAATGCATATTAAAACTTTTTACCCATACACGGAAATGTTGTTCCTTAAGTCAACTTGATATTTTTCTCCAGTACCCTCTATAAATCCATATTTAAATTTAGAATGGAGGAAATGTTTATTTTGCACTTATTACTCACTTAGATCTGTCTGAAGGGTTATTTTTATCTCACTATTAATATACCTACATCTCTTTGGGAATGTCGGTGTTCAATACAAAGCCACATTTATTGTTTGTTGTGATGTTTCACGTGGTCCAGTCAATAACCTGTATAAATGTTTTATTGACATGAAAATGTTGGTGTTGTATCTTTCACTGAGAAGTAATTGGCTCTTATAAAACATCATCCTACTAATAACTAACTCTAATTTTCAGCTTTTATTAACAACTAACGACCTTACTCTTATTAGTTAGTTAATTAAACGTGCATCCGAGTGTTGTGCTGATTTTTTTCTCGTTTTTTTTTTGTAGTTTTTCATATCTACCTAACCAACCAATTTCATTAGACGAGGTGTCCGATTTTCACAGTCCTTGATGTGAAATATATTCACCCTCAAAGGAGGATCGCAAAACTTCTTTCTGGAACATATATTTGTTTGTTGAATTTAATTGATGAAATTTGATGCTTAGCTTTTTTGTAAGCATATTTTTCAAGATTTCAACACTAGATCTTCTCCAGAAACGAAGTGCACCTTTTTCATTTCTAATTAACACTCAATGTCCATCGCTATTGATTGATTTTAGGCATCTAGAAACATATTTTACAACATCCAAGTTGATAGTTCCAAATTTTAATTTTTTATCCCAGCAAGCAAAGGTTTTTAGAAGCTGTTGAAAATCTAATGGGGCCGTAAAAACGATTATACAATGTCTTGATAGCCAAAGAAGGACGAATCCATGTTGTACATACAATATTTCGCTTTTAAAAGATTCCTATATAAAAGTATACAGTCCTTTAATGAGTGATTACAAAATAATTCTATAAATATATTTCACGATAATGAACGTAGACCCAATGGAAATACCTACTAAAATCATTATATAAAAGTTATGAATTGCATTTTGAATATTTGAAAACCAACGGTATCTAGTCAGAGGATAAAGAGAAGTATGCTCAATTTGATCAATTTGAATGAGTTGAATTCAAAGTTTCAACAAAATATCATGTTTTCCAATTCATTTCACTAGGAAATCGACCGCACATTACTGAATATTTGATATTCAATCGTCTATTTTACGTTTCTAAGTGAATTCTAGATAATGGCGTCCTATGTAGAAACTATGTGGAAATAACAAATTTTTATTAAGTCGGGGTTAAAAATAGAAAAATTAGTCCGATAAGGATATCTTATGAATTTCAAATCGACTAAATAACCAGAAGAACAATCTAAATTAATAATTAAACGTTGGGACCAGAAATTGAGGAAAAATATTTGTTTCAGTGAATTTTATCAAAAATTTTTTCTATAGGATTTTCCTCAGTAGCTTGTTTCCCTTGTAATATTTTCATGCATTACAGACATTGAAATGTGTCCGAAGAAGGCCGTAGAGCCTATCTTTGCATTACAATATTAATCACTTTCTTATATATGAGTTCTACTTTGCTTGTTGGGATGGCAAACGTTCAAAGATCAAGGGAAGGAATAGTTTCAGACTTAACATCTGCACAAGCAATAGAAAACAATACTACACCTTCTCCAGTTGTATTTCAGGAAGCGTAAATTGTATTTCAGGATTCACTTGTATTTCCTAAAGCGCCAATTGTATTTCAAAATAGTCAATTCAATTTCAGGAAGCGCTAATTGTATCTCAGAATAGTCAATTGAATGAGCGAGTGGACTGATAATGAATTATTGGCATTCAGTTACTCCACGTCAGCATTAATGCTATTTTGTTATTGGTCAGATAATCTTCCATTTCCCACTCATAAAGCAAGGTTATTAAGTCAGTAATTATAATCAGGTTATCAAAAAGATATGAGTCTTTTTTTGAATTGACTCGGCCGTTACTTGATGGAAATCCATGGTAAATGTAAAAACTTCACAAACGATAAGATTTCCACAAAATTATCAAACACACGACATGTTTCGCTAACACAGTAGCTTCGTCAGGGATATACTGGTACGATATACTGACGAAGCTACTGTGTTAGCGAAAGATGTCGTGTGTTTGATAATTTTGTAGAAATTAATCGTTTGTGAAGTTTTTACATTTATAAGAGTCTTGTCACTCCTGTCGTTGAAAAATATGAAACATAATAGGAGGAAGCCATTATATTATAGTTTATTCTTGACTGTTTTGAGCAACCAGCATGTCCAAATATTTCTTATACTCCGAAACAAAATTTCATGTGAAAGTTGAAGACTTAGCAACAATGTGCAGAATGCTGAGAACTGACAAGACACTGCCCACAATTCGTGCGCCGTGTTGTCACGTTCACCGATTCAATGTCCTCTAGTGTGAATTATAATTATTATTATTTACACAAATGATTTTCCATCGATAATTAGGAATATTATCAATACATAATTGAGTAGATAGATAGATAGATAGATATATTTATTCATGTTACTACACAATAGTGTTTATACATACGTCAATAAATAAATAAAATGAAATAAATATAATGAGACATAAATACATACAACTATGAAACAATGACAAAATAGTTCGAATTTTAGTTTCGACGTGAAAAAAATCCTAGCTATTCATCAAATGTGTAAAAACTTTCTTCAATTAGAATATTTTTCATTCTTGTAAACTCATAGATGGACCTCTGACTTCGTCTGGAAGAACATTGAAGAATTTCATGGCGAGATATTTAAATGAAGATTTAGTTTATTGAATTCTTGGTTTTGGTAATCTTATCATCATCTTTCGTCTTATATTATATCTATGTATATCTTCATTTCTAGTTATTCCAGATCGAGTATAAGACATTTCTTTCTTCAGGTGAATGAGACATTCGTATACGAAGCATGAGGCTAGTGTCAAAATTTTCGTTTGAATAATGGTTTGCAATGTTCTGTATAACTTACTCCTGTCATTATCCTTAGAACTTTTTTTGTAAAATGGAATTGTAAAATGAAAATGTTTGTAGAATGAGTTGATGCACCCCACACTATCAAAGCATATGTCATTACTGAATGAAATATTGAGAAATAAGAAACTATGAGATATTCATCAGTTTACCCTTTAAATGTCTCCATATATAGGTTGATGTTGCTAGACGCTTACATAATTGATCAATGTGAAGTAAAAAATTCAGACCTGCATCTAGATGTACCCCAAGCAATTTAACCACGTTTCGGTCTGAACCATTGCTCAACTTGAAATTCAGAACTTGAGTCTTTCCATTATTGAGAGTAAGATAATTACTCTCATTCCAGATTTGAATCATTTGTTCAGTGTTGGACATTTTGTCATCGAGGGTTTTTTCATTTCGATCACAGTGAATTATATAGACACGTCATCAGCATACCCAATAGGATGTATACCGTCACTAACATGAAATAAGTTGAACGTCAAATCATTGACATAGATGATGAAAAGTACAGGTCCTAAAACTGATCCCTGAAGTACTCCGTGCTCTGTTGTTACAAAGTCAGATACACCGTCTTGCCATTTGACTCTAGCTCTTCTATCCGTGAGATAAAAGACATGAATTAGTTCAGCTGCTTGCCTCTTACCCCATAATGCTCGAGTTTTTTTATCAAGATATTGTGATTAACAGTGTCGAAGTCGCGTGAAAGGCATTGCATTGTGCAGTAATGGTCGATATGCCAGACCTATAGCCATGTTGGAATTCTTTTAGTAAATTGTGAAATACAATAATTGACGCTTTCTGAAGTACAAGTGACCATTTTGAAATACAATTGACTCTTTCTGAAATACAATTGACGCTTTCTGGAATACATCTCGAAAAGGTGTAGACGATCTCTTCCCAACCTAGGTGGAACAATTGGAGCACCAGCTCCAAGAGCTGACCAAAGCTCTGGCAGCGGAGACCCTCTATCGCAAAGAAGTCGAACTTGAGCGCCACGAGGCCGTGGAAAAAATCAAAGTCCTCCGCGACATCATCAGGGAGCTGGAGTACCAGACCGAGAGCAAGACGCAAGAGGTGGAGGAGTACCTGCGTGCCATCGAGAAGCTCGAATGTATAGTGGACAGACAGCAGAGGTCTCAGGGCGAGGGTATTAGCGAGGACTCATCGAAAGGTGTTTCAGATGTGGGGGAGCTGTGCAGGCATATCGAGAGATTGGAGGGGGAGTTGCAAGAGCTGAGGGTGAAATCGGAGTTGGCGGGGAGCGAGGGAGCGTTGAAGCAGATGCGCGCGCAGGTGAGTCGAATTTGCGCCACATAATCCATTTTATATTGATCATTCCGAGTATAAGTTGTATGTCATAAGGAAGAAGGAAAGCTCAAAGTCATCTCTACAAAATCTTAATGTTGTAGAAGTCCATCTTCAGCCCAATTTAGAAGTTAGTGGGGATGAATTTTTAAAGAACTGGTGCCAAAGCCCATCATCATAATATTCTTATTAAAATTTGAGAATGAACGGGTTTTCATTAATCATGAGAGATTCATCTATACTATTATTTCAAAGATCATGAAGAAAGCTATCAAGATCGAGCTCATGAAATACCTGGAACATTCAGGTATAATCAACGATAGGCAATATGGCTTCCGTCGACACAGATCAACTGGTGACCTGCTCGCTTACGTCTCATATATATGGCAGCAATCTATTGAAAAATATGGTGATACCTTAGCCGTGGCACTTGATATCTCCAAGGTATTACGATCGAGTCTGGCACCACGGGCTCCTCACCAAGCTTCCTTCTTATGGCTTGCCTCCCCAGTTATGTTCTCTGCTAGCTAGTTTTCTCTCGAACAGGTCTCTCCATCTAGTGGTCGACGGAGTTTCATCTGACTCTCCTATCATAAATGCTGGTGTTCCGCAAGGATCAATTCTAGCACCAACACTATTTCTACTCCATATCAACGATTTTTTGGAAGCAACTTCATGTCCAGTACACAGCTTCGCGGATGATAGTACCCTCCATACAGCCTTCTCTTCCAGGGCTCCAATACCAGCCAGACAAATCAGAAACGAACGAGGGAGAAATGTTGACAACATAAATATAGACTTGGCAACAATTCTCGAATGGGGATCCAAGAACTTGGTAGATTTCAATGCAAACAAGACACAAGCATGCCTCTTCTCTAGAAAAACCGATCTTACTGTGCCCAACATAAGCTTGTCAGCTTGGCGATCTGGCTCTATTTTATAGATATTTTCATGGACGATGCTCTTCTGAAATATCAACAATTGTTCCTCCCTTGGCAGTTCCCGCGAGATTAACCCGTCGAGTTGAAGATTTGCACCGCTTCATGGTCACTTTGGAGACCTGCAGAACATCTCTTTCCAAAGACTTGTTCATCCAACGAACAGCGAGGCTCTGGAACACATTGTCAAGGGAGGTGTTCCTCGAGGCATATAACCTCCAGAAATTCAAGAAGAACACCAATTTCTACTTTATTTCCCTTGGTTCTCACGATGTTCTCTGAACATTACAGGATATCCCTTTTCGTGGGAACCAGAACATAAAAAAAAAAACTATTGAAAGAGTGCAAAAGAAATTACTCAGTTATTGTTTTATGAAAAAGCATGGAGTATACCCTGTACGAGGTTATAACTATGATGAACTTCTCAGTGAGTTTAAATTCGAGTCACTCCACAAAACTAGAAAAATTATTGATCTCACATTTATATACAAAATCATCCAAAATCTCACTGACTCCAATACTCTTTTGTCATACATGTATATCAACGTACCACGTTTGACGTCCAGATCTAATTCAACATTTCATTCGAATGTACCAAATTCCTTTCACCACCTCTAGTCTCCTATTAACACAAAACACAATGTGTAGACAAGCTAATGACGTATATAATGTAGACATATCTTTCTTGAACATCAATCAATTTATAAGACATCTAAACGTAACATTACCTAATTAACTGATTCACCTTTGGAAGAAGTCCATGGTAACTCACCTTCAGTATGAATTGAATTATGTACTTCCTGTAAATTCCTCAACAACCAATGAGAGCATAACCACATATTTCGACGGTGCCAAATTGATACCTAGTAATTACCTTATGCCGTTCAATATGACCAATGACATAGTATTCACATTCACAGAAGACAATAGTTCCACCTAATAATCGCTTACTGAATACTTATATAGCAACATGGTTCATGCTGTTTACGATTAATTGTAGAATGCTGGCCAAGTGAATAAATAATAGAATTAGCATTGACTTTTGTTGGTTTATTGTGGACTGTAATTTTACATTGAACAACGTGTTCTCTCTCTCGCTGCTCGTGAGAGACCCCCCAAATCAGTCGACCACGCTCATACAACGGTTGACTCTGTCACGTGATACAGCGTTGCTAGATGGAATAAAAATCAGGATTAAACAGAAATAACATAACTCCTAACACATGCCAATCATAATAAATATTCCTAATGATGATCGAGCTTCAATTCAGTCCCAAACTGTTTTGTGACTGGCAACAGCTCAATGTGGTAATTACTTTGAGTTTCTCTCTCTTTGTGACCATTGCATTCCACTTTGAGTATTTGGCTTTTCCCTAGTTGGACATCGTATATTGTCTAATTACTCATATTCTACTTGAATTTGTTCACACATATTGAGCAATTGATATTTTTCAGCTTCTCGAAATTGAGACACAGTTCGACAAGAAAACTAGAGGGTTGGAAGTGCTTCATTCAACTGCCAGTACGAATTGTAGCTCTCCTTCTGAAGACATTTCAGCAAGGGATTTGGTGAGCCTCAAGATGGTGATTCGCAATATGATCGTTGATCATTTCGATTTTTTAGGTTATACCCAGAAGTCCAAAGAAAATGGAAGATAGTGAAGTACCCCTACAACAGCTTGCCAGGCTAAAAGAAAAACTGATGAGACATTCCAGAGCTGAAGATGCGGCAATTAAACGCATCAAAGATTTGGAGATGCAAGTCTTCAGTGTCAAACAGGAATTGGAAGTATGATTTCTTGCCTTAGTGGGTATCTCTCGAGTCTCGATTCAAATCAATGTGCAACATGATCTAAGGTTACAGACAGTCTTTAAATCTGAACGAAAATCAATGTGTAACATGATCTAAGGTTACAGACAGTCTTTAAATCTGAACGAAAATCAATTTGACATTGACACCTCTGTCACATTGAATTTGTATATTATAGCATTGATGGAGACACTGATTAGGTACTTGGGTAGCACATATCTTATCTCTACCAAGAAAGCGAAGCCAATGTATTTCACTTCCCACTGGAGGTAATTTTTTTTTCCTCCCGTGAGGGTAAATTGGCGGGTTTGTGTTCTTAAATGAGAGAGCAAACACTTACTTTCATTTTACAATCACAATTCACTATCTCTGTCAGGAAGTTGCTTCCATATTTTCCTAAATCTATGAAATTAATTTCCAGTCACAATATTTGTTTTGATGTGTCGACATTATAATATACACAGTGGAATATTTTTTTAAACTGTTAATCTTTCATACAGGCTCATGGAGACGTATGGAATGAAATAATTATTTCAAAACTAGTCAATTTTTAAAATAAGTTCAAAATACGTAAGTAAGCCCCATCTCATGATACGATATGATATGAGAGATGTTAAATCACCGGTGTTGGAGTGATGGCGTAATGGACGATTTTTTAAAATACAAACAGGGCTCATGTGACACGTTATTTGAAAGGTCTACTGATCGTTTATTCAACAGTATAATCATTCCAATATTCATTGACAGAGTCAATAAAAATGTTGGATCAAAAGATTGAAATTATAATGAATGCTCATTTGTCGAACCGAATTTTGCAGAGGTCTGCTACTGAGAATTGAACATCGTTGTGTCTTATAATCAAAAAAAAACATTTGATGAAATAATATCTAATAAAGGTAGGTACGCATCAGAACGAAAAATGCACAAACAACCCGTGAAGTTCTCAAGAACGTTAGACAATAATCGACTCCTCAGCTTCCACATTGCATCATTACTGAAGGTCATCAATTTGAATATGTATATAATTACATTTTATTTTTTTGAATAAACAGTTTTGGTTCACCCTCTATGAATAAATATTCGAAAAATTATACTGTTAGACAATTAGTGGTGTCACATGTTTGTATTCAAAAAGATCATCGGTTATGTCATTACTCCAACACCGGTGACGTAATATTTCTCATATGAATATCATGAGATGAAGCTTCAAAAATTGAAACTCACGGATTGTTTTCAAGTCGTCTATTTTTAAAATAATGAATTTATTCTGTACTGCATCATACTTTAAAAGATCTATAATTACTGTCTCTCATTGTCCAAGTAACCTATTTTTGTGAATAGGTTTTTGAAAAATAATTGTTAGAATATTCAACAGAAAACAATTATTTTCATGGCTAATATCACAGAATATTGAATTATTGTGTTGTGATTCTGATAAACAACACTGTTTTCTTCTGTGATCGGAAATTTCGATCCTATGTATATATTAGTTGAATACATCCAGCATCATTGTGGTTGCAGTTAGTGAAACCTCTTTTATTTTCAAGGAAACCAGTGGCGAAAAAGAATACCTTAAAAAGCAAATCCAAGAACAGCTAGTTCTTATATCGGACTTCCAAATCAGGCTCGACGAACAAAGAATCAGAGCCGAACACATCGAAAAGCAGACAAATACGTCTCTAGAGATGAAAATCTATGACTTGCAATCCGAAGTACAATCCTTAAGAGATAAACTCAAACATAAGGATAAAGCAGTAAGTCACCAGCAGGAGTTGCTCAGCGATACCCAAAACAGATTGAAATCGTTGGAAAACGAGCTGAATTCAGTCAAAGATGATGAGATAATCGTGGCTATGCAAAAAGAAGTCGAGGCTTTACGTTTAGAAAACGCTCAAATGAAAAACAAAATTGACAAAGACGCGGGTATGGTACCGAATTTAGTAGAGAACATCATCTCGGACAAAAATACCGACATCGAGAAACTACGCTGCAAGTTAGACGACACTGAGAAGCTCCTAGAAGCATTCACTTCTCTCAATTTGGACAAGACGGAGCTGCAAACGATTTCTAACCTGAAAAAGAGTGGTACTAGCATCGAGGAACTGTTCAGCATCCTGGAGTTGAGTCAGGCTGACCAGATGCGTCGAATGGCCGGTAGAGATGTCAGTGATTCCTTAGAAAGCCCAAGGTTCTTAGTTCACAGGAAAAATGATGGAGAAACCACAGTACTAGAACCTGAAATCTCCTCTATAGCCGGTCCAGCTTTCCAGCACTCTGGAATCCAAACAAGGAATTCTACAGAGATATCTCACAGGAGGGTTCATTTCGAGGATACGGAGGCACAAAGTTGGAAATCAGAAATAGCCGATTTGAAGGAGAAATTGAAAGAAAGAGAAGCTATCATAAAAGAATATGAAGCGCGTTTGAAGTTGCTGAATAGCTTGGAAGTTAAAATAGAGAAGTTGCAGTTGTCTCTAGAAGAAACCGAGAAAGCTCTCGCTTTGGTTACAGAAACCGCAGAGAAAGAGCATCAAGAAATCAAAGATAGAGAGAAGGATCTAGGGATACAGCTAGCAGAGAAAAAGCTCAAACTCTCCGAAGCCGAAAAGCGTATAGAAATATTGGAGCAAGATTCCCTGAGAAAGGATGACATGTGCCTGAATTTGACTAAAGAAAAGAAAGATTTAGAGAAGCAGTTGAATTCGGTGAAACACGAAAATTTCGTCGCTGTGGATAAGGTCATAAAATTGAAGAACCAAGAAATCGAGGCACTGAAAGCTAAGTGTTTGAATAAAAACGAATTGACGAAATTAACCCAAGAACTTGAGGTCAAGAATATGGAAGTTAAATCCTGGCAGACGGAAAATAAGACTTTGTCAGAAAAGCTTGAACAAGTTATTGGTCAATGCAATGAGCTTGAAGAAAAACTCAAAGCTACCAGTAACGACAACAAGAAACTCACTAAAGAAATGGACAACAAATTAGTACAAATAGATTCAATAACCATCGAAATTAACAATCTGAGAGACAAGCTAAACAAAAAAAGAAGGATAATAAGAGAGCTCCAAGACACTTTGGATAAACACAAGAACGCCAAGACCAGATTAGAAGAAGAAACAAAGCATCAAAAGAAAATGATAGCTGACCGCGACTACGAAATCAACATAGCAAAAGAAGAGGCCGAGAGATACTGCAACGACATCGCACTACTAGAGGAACAGGTAATCAATCTCAAGAAAGGCAAGTTCAGCGAACTAACCGAAGAGAAAGACGGAAAGATAGCAGAGCTCAGCAAGGAGAAGACCCACCTGATGGATCTCCTGAACGAGAAAGACAAAATCATCAACCAGATAACCGAGGATTGCCACAAGTTGCACGCGAATCTGGTCACAATCAAGAGCAAAATAAGGGAACCCGGCAACATACTCGACATGGGCAACAAGCTCAGAGAAGAGCAGAAGAGAACGGCCGAACTGGTGCAAGAAATTCACGATTTGAAAGCGCAGCTGATGCGCTCCAAGAACAACGACATGGTGAATTCAGTGGATGAAATCACGGACCAGCTTCAGCAGGAACTGAACTATTCCGCCCAAATAGACTCTAATATCATCAACGCAGTGAGCGACCAGAGTCTCAGCTCGATAGCCGAATTGCAGGACGTGGAAGTTTACAAAAAGTTCCTCTCTTTCGAGAGGTCAGCGAAGAAACAAGTCGAGATACAACTTTCCCATGCGCAGGACAAAATAAAGGAACTGCAGAGTATCCTAGTGCAAGAACGCGATATCTTAGTGCAGACGCAAAGTGAAGATGCGAAACTGATCGAGCAGCTCCGAATCCAATTGGACGTAGCTCTGGACAGCGAGGAGTCCTTCAGAAAGTTGCTGTCTGAAAAGGCAGCGGAATATGAGCAACTAGAGAAAGAAGTGGATTCTTTGAAGAGGAAGCACACGAATAGTTCCGAGTCGACGGAGTATAAGCATCCGCCGACCAAAGAGATTTTGGAGCTCAACCAGTTGAGGAAAGACCACTTTGCGCTTCTCAGCGAAAAAGAAACTGTTCTGGCGGAAATGGCTTCTCTTAAAAAGGGCAAACTCGGGGCAGAGACTGCGTATAATTATACCAAAAATTTGTTGAGTTTGGAAGTGCAGAGGACAAAGAATTTCGAGGAGAAGATTCAGAGTATGGTGCATATCGAGAGGGACTTGAAAGATAGCTTGTTGCAGAAGAGCCATGACATCAAAAAACTTGAGGTGGGTGATTCTTTCATTATTTCATTACAGTATTTTGATGTAAAAAAACATTTAAAAATAACAATAATACAAATTTAAAGTCACAATTACAAATTTACAAAAATGAATATTTAGAAAAATAAGGAAAAAAGTCAATATTAAAATAACAAACAAACCAATTTTTGAACAGCTAAAGAGATGTGTTATTTGTACATTTTCACTATACCACCGTCTTTTGGAGTCTCAAATAAGAACTATGAGTTTGATTGGTCAGTAGTATAATAATATCATGCTGATTGCAACTTTGTGGATCCACTGGAGATCTACTTGCCTACGTCACCCATTTTTGGCAAGCTTCATTAGAAAAACACGGGGAATCTCTAGCTGTCGCGTTGGACAAATCGAAAGTATTCGACCGTGTTTGGCATGAAGGACTCCTCCACAAACTACCAACAAATGGCTTACCACCTCAGCTATGCCATCTCTTATCGAGTTTTCTTTCAGGCAGATCGCTTCATGTGGTGGTGGACGGTGTATCGTCTGATACAATTGGCATCAATTCCGGCGTTCCACAAGGATCAATTTTGGCACCAACATTATTCCTTCTTCATATCAATGATCTGTTGGGAGTAACAACTTGTCCCATCCACAGCTTTGCAGATGATAGTACCCTCCATACTGCGTTCTCTTCCAGAATTCCCATTTTTTCCCAGGAAACTAAGAACTCACGGCGTAGGCAGGTCAATGCTGTCAATGAAGACCTTGCTGAAATCACAGCCTGGGGAACCAAAAACCTAGTTGAATTCATCGCCACCAAAACTCAAGCCTGTATTTTTTCTAGAAAAGCAGAACTCAGTATGCCCGATATTGTAATGTCTGGCACCACCTTCCCCACCAAGCCCACCATATCTATCTCGGTATTTCCATCAGCACCACTCTTTCATGTCATAATCATGTCAGATCCATCGCAAAAGCTGCTTCACAAAAACTCGGATTCTTGTTCCGTGCGAAAAGCTACTTTACACCTCAACAGCTTTTCATGACCTACAAAGCGCAGATACGGCCTGTTCTAGAATACTGTTCCCACATATGGAGTTCAGCACCAAAACATACGCTGATTCGCTGATGCTCTTAGATTCCATCCAGAGAAGAGCCATTCGCCTGGTGGGTGGCGCCACACTCACTCACTCTTTGACATCATTGGAACACCGTAGAAATAAGGTCGGCGACCTTTCACTTTTCTATCGATACTTCCACGGGAAATGTTCTTCGGAAATCTCTGCTATCATCCCTTCACTAGCAATACCAGTCAGACAAACTAGACAAGCCCAGTCATCACATCCTTTCGTTGTCAACCTCGAAAGATGTCGAACAGCAATTTATCAAAACTCCTTCATCCATAGAACGGTTAGGCTCTGTAATTCATTGCCTGAGGAAGTATTCCCAACAACATATATTCTCCAGAAGTTCAAAAAAAATTCCAATACCTACCTCCTGTTTCTATCCTCCCTAGGAACGTACGATGGTCTTTGAACATTATAGGGATTTCGTTTCGTGCGCTCCAAGCGATAAAAAAATCCAATATGGCGCACATAAGGAAAATGGAAGATGTTTCCCATGTCTCAGAAAGTTGTTGTATAGTTATCACATGATCAGCTCAAAGAGATAAATAATTTCTTCCACTGAATTTTATAACTTTTTCAGTGTGAGCTAGAGCAAGAAAGAGCCAACTTTGCTAAGCAAAAATCCGATCTGATGCAACAATTCAAATCCCAAATGACCAACGAATTTCCATCAAAGGTATTAGATTCTCCCGTCCCTGATGTTTTGTTAGACAAGATCAAGGAACTGAATAACGCTCTGCTGGACAACAAGAAACTCCTCGACATCATCCAAAAATTATCCAAAGAAAAAAACTCATTGGAAAAGGAGTTGGACGCAGTCAGAGGGAATGTCAGGAACGAAATGCCTTTCGATAATTTGGCTGCGAGGGTAAGTGGTCACGTGATAGGTACTCGTTATACAGGGTGTCCCTTAAAGGTCTGTACAAAATGATACCATAGACTCCTAGGACTAAAGATATGTGATTGAACCAAACTCATCTACATACCAAAACGCTACGTTTAGCCTCTACAGGGCGTCAGAATTTATTTATTTATCTATTTATTTATTTATCCAATCAAGGAAAATCTACAATTTGTCATATTAATTACATGTATATATATTTCATATTGTATCTCCTTCACATAGGTTAGGGACCTGTGTGTGAAACAAAAATTGATTATTTCATGATATGAAATTGTTTTTCCACAATATAAATGAACAAAATATTATTTCAATATTAGAATAAAAATGAAAGATTGAAACAAACTGCCTATACCAAATACCTTGGTATTTGGATTGATGAAAAGTTAACATAGGACAAGCATATTGGCATGCTCAAAGAAAAAATTTCTCGCATAGTTGTTGTCCTAAGAAGATGTCCAAAACTTAACCCAAATATAGTAAATACCGTTCTATACTCTCACATCCTTATTAAAATGAACTATCTCATAAATATTTGGGGTTCATGTTCCAAGAATAATTTCAACAAAATATCTGTACTATATAAAAAAGCATTAAAAGCACTGTATTGTCTTCCATATGACACCCCATCACATCAACTTTATGATGAAACAAATTGTTATACTATGGTCATAATTCAATAAACACGAGCACAAATGACATGGACAAGGGTTACACTTGCTCTTAACTCGGCTGCCTGCCGAACACCGTATGAGCCAGTCTTTACACACGTCTGTCATAGGCTCTGATCTAAGCACATTCCACTGAGCAGTAGCGCATCTAGTTGCTAGATGCTTACACAAATACATTTTCTTTGGAAGAGCACTATCTGATAAATACTCTCAAAATAATTATCACAATTATTTTTACTGGATTGTTTGTTAATTTTTTATATCAATATTTTCGTATATTTCTATTAATATCGCTCTGAAATTTTGTAGGCACACTAAAAGGACTATCACGCATATAAAAACATTCCATGCCATTTTGGTTGATGCATAGGATGTTTCATATTTGGAGTAGGTATATTTGATCGAAAAATTGATTGATCTTTTTCTGAGTAAGCCACTGAACAGATTTCAATGTTGTTTTCTATTTCCTCATTCAATGCCTAACTTTCAGCCCACCTGAAAGTTATGCATGAGATGCATACCTGCTCTTCAGAATTATTTAATTATTGTAGGTTCCTAAATAATTTTCGTATGAAATAATCAAACATATCAATGATATTCAATATTTGACACACATTTTTCCACGAATTCAAAAGACAGGGTGTTGCATAAAAATTAAAATTGAACATTCAAAGCGTTCTGGCATAGAGGTTTTGGTTTAATTATCTCACTTTGGTCTTCGGAATCTATGGTATCATTCTGAACAGACCTTTCGAGAACACCCTGAATAATGATGGAGCATTTCAGCATTTTTGGATGTTTCCTGATTTTTTTTAGAACGATTTATTGCTAGCGAAAGCATTGAAATTGGAGAGTACCAAAAAGGCTTTGATATGGCAAAAGAGGTATCTAGTGGAGCACTTGCAATTCCATCATAAACATTGTTTGAAACAAGCCCTGCCGAATGCTCTAGCCCATAGAACAGAATTCCGTAGGGACTATACTTTGAAACAACGATTCAGGTAAATAAGTGTTTGATAGTCCTTTCAGGTTCAGTTTAAAAACCTCATTCAATATAATTATATTCCCCCTTTTTCAATTCATGGACATCGAAAACCAACAGAGGTTGATCGATTTTTGAACGATTTTTTATGACACTTCAATGTCGATACGAGGTAATTTGCCGCCAGGTGATATGATGGACTGAAAAATATTCCTAATCCTCAAGATTTTTTCATCATAAGATAAGAATAGAACATAAATAACAGGATAAAGAAATGAAAAACAATTCTTTTTTATTTGAATAATAAATAAAAAGTGAAATAAATATGAAGTTACTATAGACAAGTATAGGTTAAGAAGGAGAATCAAATCGTAACTAGGAACATAATTTACGTTTTGATCAGTTTCATTAGTAGATATTGATTGATAGTCAACATTTTTAACCCAAAAAATTCGAAAACAAATATTTATATTCGGAAAAGAGATTACAATATTCTCCTGTAGAACTTGGACTAATTCCAACACAGTTACTGCTTTATAATATCCGGAAGAGAAATTAATAGTTCAAGTTTAGTTTAATGGGAAAAAATCCCCTGTAAGGCTGGTTGTCATTTTTTCCTATTGTCAAGAAAGAAGAAGTTTTAGGGGGTGGTACTTTTACAACAAGAAACCCGATACCCCTCGAAATAATTGTATGTAACTTACGTCGGAAACATATCGATATTCCGAGTTTGGTTTCAAAGGCCATCAGAAAAAATAACTTAATTTCCAGGAAATATCGAAATTATCTTTTTTTATTTCTGCCCTCCCAGAAATGATTAGCCCTTGAAGTTCCTGTTTCATTTCTCCGTTGGACACTTCTGAAGGCATAATCTTATAATGAATTAGTTCGATAATTACTAATGTCGGTGCCTGATGGTCAATTATCTGACAGTTTATAATGAGAGTCAACTCTTTGACTTCAGTTTTCTTGTATCAAGTTTGCAAATTGAACTTTCCTTTCAGGTGTGTCCAATATGACCCACCCTTTTCCAGTTTTTCGTTTTTTTTTTTCAATTCTTTGAATCCTCAGAGAAAGAAGTATACACCTCCAAAATTCAAACATTCCGATACATTTTATTCCTACGCATGCGTTCATTGCTGAACCACAGTCTCGATCCTTTCAATACCATTTTCAGATCGGTAGCTTTCCTCATCATCTCCGTCATCCGAATGAAGTACCTAGTGCGAAGGTGGCACAGCGGCGTCCGCATAGTAGAAAGAGTGAACGCCCGTCACTACAAAACCGCCACGCCCAGACCCGACCCCATAATCTCCGCCCACTACCAGCCCGAACCTATAATCTCCGCCCACTACCCAATAGAAGCGAAAAGCTCCGCCCACTACCCGTCCGTACCGATAGTCTCTGCCTACTACGCACCGGAGCCGTTATTCGCTGGGTACGCGCGAGACTCCGCCCACTTCCGCGTCGGCCGGCCTGTGTCGAGCCAGCTGTTCGCGGGGGGCGTGGCATCGAGTTCCAGGCCGGCCCCTTTCGAGGCGCCGCGGCCGGCCAGTGGGAGGAGCTTTGACGAAACAGATGACGAGAGGGCGGTGGGAGGAGCAGGAGAGGGCGGGCCGTGGTCGGGACAGTCTCCGCCCTCCAAGGAGGGGAATTTCAAGATACGTATCGGGTGAGTAATCATGCTCACGAAGCATAAATTCATCAAGTAGTATTTCAATTCACCAATTCGACATCTCTTGAACAGCAGATAGTTCTCAAATTCAGCGGATAATTCAATCGATCATTCATCTGATACATCGGCATGAAGGACTGATTTATTCATAAATTCAAAGAGGAGTATTTGTCATATGGTGAAATCACTGAAAACTGTGATGTTATTTGACTACTCTGGTGATGAAATAGGCAAATCTTCAGCGATTATAGGATCAGTGATGCAATGATCAATATAATAGTGAGAGTTTAAAGTTAATTTGCAACTACAGTATAATGATATGACTTCTACGTGGAAGTTGACATGAAATTGTTGAGAATTAGAACACCAACGTTTATCATATTTTATAACTATCATAACTTCGATAATTACAAAGTAATTCGTGTTTGAAATGCTAGTATCTTATATTTTTAGAGTTTTGCTAACACTCAATGATGCTGTCATTAAACTATTTAATTTTTGAACACATCAAATCGTTCCCATATTCAGTTGAAATCTACATTTCATCGGGGCATTTGTGACGTCAAAAGACATGTTTCAGTAATTGATTAATCAAGAATAAATATTTGTTTGTTTGTAAATTGGTGGGGAGGTAGCTTAGAACCTTGAGACGGACATGTTATCTCGGAATTATTAGGAAAGTCAAGAGGGCGGATCCAATATGGCGGAAGAGTTTTGTAATTATAATACGATTCAATTCAAAATTGGTATCTAGAGATTTTCGGGATCGGGGATAATAACATAGTATATACCCTTACGGAAAACAGTAATTTCTATCAGCATTTACCGTGTCCTAAAAATTGCATTGCGTAAGTCCACTCGTGGTTAGTATGCGCAGTTGCTCAGCTAGCAGGGCAGGTGTTTTGTTTACACTTCTTTGATTTATATGCCTTTATGATTCATTATGTGATAGAAACCACGAGTATTACGTTTTATTTATTATGTCTAGTATTGTTTTGGAATGGTGGTTGGAATTATAACCTCATCATTGAAATATCGTCAACCGTGAGAGATACAGGGTCGGTTAAATTATGGCAGAGTTGTGCAATTTTATACCTAACAAAATCCCGGAACTTGGGAAATTCCGGATAAATTTGGAGATATTCGAAAAAAAAAACGATATTTCTTGAAATATTTTTCATTTTTTCCCAAGTTATCTGAAGAAATCAATCAAAATCAATGAAACATCATGACCACTTTTTCTTCCCTAGGAGTTGGCGTTTGTCCTCCCAGAAACCATCATCAATTCATGTATTCTTTTTTTAAATACAGATCTGGACTTTTATTCCATTTTTCGTTACCTTTGTATAGCCCAAAAGCTATGAGCAATTACAAATTTCTGTTTTCGAATGTTTCATTAGCAAGAATTGACAGTTTAACATTAAAAAATGAAAATTCAGCTTTTAGGCCATTCTCAAAGTTAGTTGATGATGGTTTCTGGAAGACGAAACTTCGAATTTGGAAACACCAATTTGAAGGGAAGATAAAATGGCAATGATAAAGTGTCATTGATTTATATTCAATTGTTTCTGAAAAAAACGTTTTTTTCGGCTATCTCAAAAAGTATTCGGAATTTTACAAGTTTCAAAAGGACATTTTGATAGGCATAAAATTGCGCAACTTTGCAATAATTCAACCGACCCTGTTAACCTTTCGGTTTAGAAGATCCAAACGATGAGTCTCTAATTCCAGCCACCCTGAATACAGGGTGTTCCAAAGGAAGCGTCCCAGTCAGTGCCTTCGATGATCAAAAACTTAGAACAATATTTTGCCATATAAGAAACTGAAGTTGGAATGGTTCTCAATGTGTTGGACAGAAAGTTGATTTGTTGTTCACGTTCAATTCATTGAAAATATTTGACTCGTTTAAGCGTTTCAATTTCGAGAAATTTCTGAATTTCGAATCAATTTGTGTACTTTATGATCTCATTGTGTTTATTCCGTTTCAGATCGAATGTACTGAAAAAGGAGGATTTGACTCCACTGAGGGCACCCCAGTTACTGGCCCAATTCTCAGAAAGGTTCGACCAGATACAAGAGAAACTAGGTATGGTTCTCGAGACCAATTCTTAGGGCAGTAAGAGTATTTTTGTTACTTTTGTATTTTTGTATATACAGGGCGTCTCATAATATATTCACAGTACTCCAAGATGTGATTAGCTCGTCCAAAAATATGAAAAAAGCGTTTAATAACTTACCCTCGAAAATGCACCAGATACAGTGTTGGAATTTCAAAAAATTATTTATTTTTTGTGAATATCTCTGGAACCGGTTATCGCACAGAAAACAGCCTTTGTATTCTATTTCTATTTTGAGCCGCCATTTTTTTCTACAGAAAACTGAACTCTCGGTCACGAGCTCTGGAGTTGACCGGTTCTGAGAAAAAATAATTTGTATGTTGAAAAACATGGTCAAATTTCAAAAAAACTAACAAATCATCAAATTCATTTTTGGAAATGTCCGCGGTTGTCTTCAATGCACTCAGCAAAAAATTGACCATGTTCTTCAACATAAAAGTTGATTTTCATCGAAAACAGGCAACTTTAGAGCTCATGAAGAAATTATTGTCGGTTCAATCGGGCGGCTCAAAACTGTACTTTTTCTAGTGGCGTAGAAGTTGGGGAGAAAAACAGCCACTACCCCTTCAAAATCTACACCAAATATGACAAAAAAATCCACACAAAACATAGCTTATTATTATGAGTAAAAAATGCATACAAAAGCTGTTTTCTGAGAGATTAACGGTTCCGGAGATATTCGCACAAAACGAATTGTTTTTTAAAATTTCAACACCCTGTATTTCGAAAATGTTGCATTTTAGAGGGTAAGTTAATGGAAACATTTTTCATTTTTTTGGACGAGCAATTACATCCTGAAGTGCTGCGCATATATCATGAAACTGGAACCACTTCTCGGGTTGATTTTTATTTAGATTTGATCTGTTTCACTTCAAAAGTGACGTGAATTTTGGTATACGACAGTATTTGCTGACTAATTTTAAAACTAGATACATCATAACGTAATCATTCATCACAACACTGTGTTTTACTTTTCTGTATTATTGAGTTTGAGGAAACTTTTGATTTTTGTTATACACTTGTTTTTTGTTATTATTTGAGTTAGTTAAGTGCCATACCAAAGTGTGAAAGGAAAATACTATGTTCGGTTATCGTTTTAGATATTACCATTTAAGTATAAGATGTTTTGTATTTTGTTCAATAAAATACAATACATATTCTGAAAAATATTACATTTTGCCGCCATCCTTAGAATTTCAAATTAATTTCATGCTTCAGAATCAAAGTGACAATATCTCTAAGTTCAGAACATACAGGGTGTTCTATTGAAAATAAAGGAAGAATGAATATTTATACAGGGTGTCCCAGAATAACGTTCCTATACAGGGTGATCCACGGTGGATGGCCTATTAGAAGTATCTGGTGAAAGAACAGACAGAACATTCTGAAAATTGGGATGCTTTGATGATTGAACATTGTCTATCCGTCTGAAATATTTTCATCGATACAGTGTTGCCACTTCTATTAGAAACAACTAGCAAGTTTGTTTGATTCTTCCTGAAGAGCTGATTTCATCAATGCATCACACTTGGGGTCTAGCAGGAATGATTACAGAGATATAGGTGGTTCAAAATCGAAATTTTTCAATTTTAGGATTTTTTGTGTCGAAACTATTCATTATCGCTCAAAACGGCTTACATGCCCCTATCGCAACTTTTGATTCACTATCTACTGGAATTTAATTGGAAACAATACAGGGTGCTTCAAGATTCAGAATTCTGATCACCCTGTATATGTTCCAATTAAATGTCAGTAGATAGTGGATAATAAGTTGAGATAGGGACATGAGCGCCGTTTTGATCGATAATGAATAGTTTCGACACAAAAAAATCCTAAAATTGAAAAATCTCGATTTTGAACAACCTATATCTCTGTAATCATTCCTGCTAGACCCCAAGTGTGATACATTGACGAAATCAGCTCTTCAGGAAGAATCTGAATATGTAATAAAATACAGGGTGCTCCATTTGAAATAACGAAGTTGCTAGTTGTTTCTGATATAAGTGGCAACACTGTATCGATGAAAATATTTTAGACGGATAGAGAATGTTCAATTATCAAAGCATCCCAATTTTCTTCTCTTCGTTCTCCAGATCCTTCTAATAGGCCATCCACCGTGGATCACCCTGTATACTCTGAGGGGTAATTCTAATAAGAATAAATCTACCTACCTGCAAAGGACTCTAGGGCCCTTAGGAAGCTGTTTCGGACACATGTTGATAGGTACATTTTTTCTTATTTTTATCTGCAGAAGTACCTCTTGGAGTATACGAACGTTATTCAGGGACACCCTGTATAGTGATAGTGAGTGGACTATTCGCGATAGAAAATAAGCGTACGCCACCTATCGGAGTTCTTGAAAGCTGTCAAAGCGACCTGTTTACTTCGTTTTCATTGATTCACATTTGTTTTTGTTGATGCTTATTGGTCATAACATCAAAACAAACCGCTCAGAAGTGTTCTAGTTGTTGCCGTCAGATGGGCTGACGAGTAATTTTTTTTTCTCCGATTGGCAGCAAATATTAATTTTGCTGACACATATCAATCAGCAAAGTATTACTTTTCCTGCCTAGGCAGCAAAGTTTTTACTTTGCTGATTGATATGTATCAGCAAAATTAATAATCCATAAATCGTTTATAATTTCCTTCATATTTCATTCGAGACTTCTCCGGCAACAAATTCAACTCCACCTCCCTTATTTCTGGAGGTGTGAGTACTTCCAGGTCGCTATCACTGTCCATTATATAATAATTTGAATATACCGATATTTTTTCGCACAACTGTCAGAATTTTCATGAATTGTCAAACTATAATTATCATGGACAACTGCGATTTCTATCAAATTTCATTTTAATTGAACACTGCAGGACAAATAAAGAGATTGTGGGAATTGTAATAATTTGCAATTACAATATCCTCCTACATCAATATGAACAATCGGAGAAAAAATTATATGTTCAACTCGGCAGCTACGCTCGGCTATGAATCCAGCTAAGGCAGTCAATCTACTACTTTGCTGCCTAGTTAAACAAATAACTATTCTATGACGAATTGATGAATTTGAATGTTTTCACTGATTCTGGATAGTATATCGTAATTACTTCTGAACAAGATGATTTTGGATATCCCCATATCAAGAACACTGATAGCTTCAAAAACGTATTATTCATGTATAAAACTTTATTCAATACCAACATGGTTCACAGTGAATATGTACAGGCTGTCCCATTTTCGATGTCCTTACGGGATATCTCGCTTAATTTTGAAGATAGAAAGTTGCGGTTTTCGCGAACGTTGGCTACTTTTTTGTGAAACTCACGAAACCGTGAACAAAATTTCCATAGCCCGCTTCGTTCCTGAGATACAGGGTGAAATTGAAAATATTGCATTTTGAGACCCCCTTTGTATCTCAGCTATCTTTCAACTTAGAGGAAAAGTAAGAACTGTTTCTTTCACAATTTTTTACGTAGAATCCAGTGGCGTAGTCAGATTTTTCAAATGAGCTGTCTTTATTTAGATATAACCCAAAGTTATGTTTTTTTAAATAGAACACCCTGTATGTTTATCAATATTTGAAACAAGAAAGCTTTGCGCTTTTCAAAAATATATAACACTTATATGATATTTTGAGTATTAGTTCTGTATTTGGGTAATTTTCAGTTTTTTATGTAGGTTTCTTATCAATAGGCCTTGTAAAAATGTGGCAACATTATCCACTTCACAAATTTTCATATTTCCCTTATTGCTGACACAGTGTTTCGTCACACACTCACCACATTCACCAATATTCAGTCATTGTCGATCTAAATGAAAACCTAGTAGGCGACCTAGTGCGAGGAGGTATAATATTGTCTGTTCATTCAATCAAAATATGTCTGTCTGTCAAGTGGCGCTGAAGCAGAGAAATTGGAAAGAGCTCATTTGTTTATGTCAAAATAGACCATATTAGGTTGATATTCTCTTCTTCTATTTTTCTCCAATATGTACTCAACCACAGATGTGCTTTCTATCATTGACGGAAGACGATGAAGAAGATTCATGTAATCATAAAATTATTTTCTGACAGTTGTCATTAACTTATAACTTCGTCTTTGTGGATGTGTTGAACTTTGATTCCCTTTCTTGGAAATTTTTTATACCTAATCATTTCTTCTAGTATTGGTTTTTGTATCAAAGTTTGTTGATTGGTTTGTGAGTGCGATTGTGTTATTTTGCAATGTCATCTGAAAACTGCGCACTCCAGGAGGTGAAGGTGTAATTATTGTATTATCAAGACATGGTTTCCCCAATCCCCACTGTTGTGATTTTGAGCCTCAAATCCTGAGGCATCAATGGGTTCACGCCATATTCATTGGATATCAAGGTGAACTTATTTTCTTGAATCGCATAATATTTGAAACCTAATGATATTTATATTTCAGGAATGAGAGTTTTTGAAGTAAGCGAACATGATACTATATGTTTCCAACATTTTAAGGGAACTGTTTCTTGCCAATGAAGAATAGGAAACGGTTTTGGAAAGAGAGTACGGTTCCAAGTTTGTTCAAGGTGGGAATATATAAATAAAATGGTATTTAACAAGTTTGTACCTATACTAACTAACTAATTATTAGTTTTGGTATGAAATTTACCAAGAACTTGACTTTGGTTCCTTCGAAAGTTGTTCCATAGTCAAAAGTCATTAAAATCATTTCAGAATGGTACAGGACATTGAAACTAGGGACAATATTTTTATATTTTCAGACTCATCAATGTTGTTTGGAATATGATGCTGAAGAGGAATTCCTGCCTTAAGGATCAGGACCTAACGATGAAGAAGCATCTGAGGAGGAAACGGGCATTTGAACAGATATTATAGAATGATAATAAATAATAATAAAGTTCATTCAGAATGTTGACTTGAATATAAATTAAAAAGATACATATTGGTATTGAATATTCCTGTGGTTTAATTTGTGGCAATAATAGACACATCCTCTCATATTTAGTGAAGTTCCTAGCTTCAAAAAGATGATTTAATAAAAAATAATCATTGTTTCACTTCAAAAATACTTTACCTATATACAATATTGGTACAATATATATAGTGTTTTCAAACTTACCTGCTAATACATCTGTACAACAATAAACAGGGTACCAAAAGAGAACAAACTATATAGTAGAATAAAAATTGAAATAATTCTTCATAATTATGTACAATTTA